CTGTTGACGGTTCTGTGCTCCTTGTTTGTGCAGTCTCCAAGCTCGGAGTAAGCTTTGAGTTGGAACGCGAGGTAGGAGGAGGGCTTCCAGTCAGTGAGAGACCTGTCATCGACCCAGGTACGTTCTCTAGGACCGGGTTCAACGAAGATAGCGGAGAAAGCATCTGAGACTGGCTATGCTCGGACATGGAACGCGACGTAAAGTCCTGGTGCCCGTTGCTCATCGACTGCCCCACCGAATCTGGCTTCTCACTCGACATCGAGCTGCTGAGCATCATCGACTCAGACCCGTGGTGCTCATTCGACATCGAGCGGCTTTGCGTATGAGGGAAATCCGGAAGCGTTTCACGCGTTGCGCTCCGTTCCGTAATGGGGGAGAGAGCGTGACCGACAGTGAGGTCTGGTGGCGAGCGCAAGTCGAAATTGATCGTGGGGAGCTGGGGGGCATGAACAGGCTGACCATTCTGTGTTTGTGACCGAGGCTGAGCAACATTTTGTAATAGCTGTTGTTGTTGTGGGCGATTCGGATCAGCACCCAAACCAACGGGTGACAGGGGGGGCGGTGCAGATGTGGCACGCCGTTCGGGCATCCGCGAGTGGAGGATGTTTAGGAGACGATTGCGAATGGCGGAGGTACGGTCGTCACGTGGGTCCATAGATTCTGCAACTTCACGATCAAGGAACAGGAGCTATCGTCCAATAAATCAGTGAACTTGTGCTGAGAAGCAACTTGCACTTACGTCTCTCCCAGGATTGACTGGATAAGCAAACATCAGCGAAACTGGATCACGAGGGTCCCAGGTGTACACTTTCGGACGTCCGTATAGCTCAAAGGCGTCATGAAGCGCTGAATAAAGGGTGAATCATCATGTTCTGCAGGACTGAGATAGTCCTACTCACCAACAAGCCACTTGAGCATCTCGGATGCTTGCGTATTCCCTGCCTCGAGCTCAGGCATAATAAGCAACCACCCCTCCCTTCGTTTCATCGCGCCTGCCATTTCCTCGTCACCAATCAGACCCTCAAGTTTCATGAGCGTGCTGCGGTTGATCAACTCCGGGCGCTCTGGGTACACTGCAAACGCCTGTGAAACCTCCCTAAGCGTGAGAAGGGGGTGCTTCTTGTCCTTTGGTCTAGGGGATGCATAAAGTGCAAGCAAAGGCTTCATGGGCAGAGGCTCAGGGGAGTGATCCCGCGAGAAGAGATTTGACATGCGTTTCTTGGGAATAGGTATGGTGCCAATGGTAGTAGACGGAGTTCCAGGATCGGTGGATGAAGTTTGCGACCCAGAGATAACCATCCACATGCGTTTCCAGTCTGTTTGTCCAGCAACGCGTATGAGCACCCACCCTTCCATGCGGCCACGGATGAGGGTTGTGCGGGTATCTTTGCCTGAGAGAAATGACGTCAGTGTCGAACATACTCCAGTGAGAGAACTGACCTTCAAGCAATGTTATGCGTATCAAATGAGCAGTATACATCTCTTCGAGACGAGACTTTTCCCAAGCAGATAATCGTAGAGCTGTCGCCCATGACTCCAATGCTGGTGTCGACGGACAGCTGAATAGAAGCAAATTCGAGCCTGCTGTGTTGAGAGTGAGGACGTTCGCATATGTCTTCCGCGGTTGATCTGGACTCTCGGCGGGGCCAGTCACTGAACCTAGTACGTGGACGAACTACAGCCAGCGTCATCATCACGAGCATAGAAAGAGAACGGAATAAACTCACGGCATCTGTTATATTCACATACGTAGGAGGCACCTCGAGGCCCTTCTTGTTGGCTTCTTCGATCTCCTTCATGTCCCATATGCTCAACGTTGTGCCACTAAGCTGGGCCCAGACATCAACCCATCCATCATCTTTGGGACGTTGGCCATCCGGCTGGCGCTGTACGCGTTTTACAAGTGGGCCGCTGAAGTAGACCTTCCGGGCATGCGCGACAGTGAGCTGAACAATGGAGCGTATTTCAGGATGAAGAGGGGGAACAGAGGTAGAATCTCTGCGAGCTGCGAAAGTCGTGTCGGGCTCTTGGTCATCCTGCTTCTCTGGCGAGGAGCGCATTGGACCCATTGTTTGAGCGCGCTGTTGGTTGTTTTGCGGTGCGAAGTCACGGTCTTGCGCGCCAGTGCTTGGGCGTCGGTTAGATTGCTGCTGGTGATCTGCACTCACGTCGCTTGAATGCTGCAACTGTTTTCGAAAAGAAAAGAAAGATGAAGTGCGAATGTGCGACATTGTATTAGCGGTTGGTTGTTGTTGAGCAGGTCTCGAAACCGACTGGTCCTCCTGTTGAGTTGTTAATGTTACTACTCCGGCGCTAGGGTTGTTGCCGCCTGGTAGACTTGTTGCAGGTTGTCGTGCGTGAAACTCGTGTAGATCGGTTCCTCTGCCTGGACTAGCTTGTCTGAGCTGTTGTAGTTCGGCGGGAGAAATAAAGCCACGATGACGGTTATCCCACTGGGGACTACTGGAGCCTGAGCTCATAGATAGTGCCATAAACCGTCGAAGTCCTCCCCAGAATACAGGTCGATCTCAAAAGGTTACAATAGACGCTAACCCACGAATATTTAAAACTAGACCTTCTCTGATTCGAACAAATAAGTATTACATGGGGAAACCTGCTTGCTTTGATTGGGAAGCGTATCGCTTTAAATTTATAAGTGCACGTGCTCTGAGCATAGCCTTGAAAACCATAACGTTTCTCAAAACATACTGTGATCATCGTGACGATGACTCGGCCTAATTGCGACGACGATATGGGGTGATAATCGTCCGCACGAGGCACATGAACTCGATCAAATCGTCAAGATCAAGTTGGCAAGCCTATCTTCTATATGACAATGAAAAGAAGGAACCCCTGTTTTCCAGAAGGACAGATAGGTTCTCGTAACCATTCCATGTCTGGTCTCTATCATCTACGGTTGCATGTAACGGAACAATGTCCCACTGAATAGAACTGACCTCCTCGAATAGTGCACGAGCTTGCTTCTCCCGAGGATGCAACCGCGAGGTGCTAAGGTATAAATGAAAATGACATTGATATCTTGATGACGAGAGGAGACGTACGTTCGTCATGAGCACACGATAATAACCGACATGGCCAATATAGTGCCTCGACGGCGACTTGCAAAGAGCTATCAATGACAATTGGACCCGTGAATCGTCAAACAGTTCAGTTCAGTTTCATTTAGATTAGTCTTGGTATTAAAGATCAATAGCACGACGGTTACCCATCGTTGAAAATTGCGAACATATCAGAAACTAGCGGAATGTTGCGACTCGAAGATCTGAGAGGTCAATAGGGATTGTGGTCGTTAAAGACACAGTGGAACGAACCAACAGTACCATCAACGTCCTACATTGCATATAGGCAAAGTGCACGGTCGTAGTCTCGTAGAGGTTCACTTGTGCGTTCTCATTCGACTGTGAGCTGCGGCTCAGCTACCCGGTCCGTGAAACAGGCTGCTACCGCCCTGTGAGCTGACTTGCAGTCTTCATCCTCAAGAACCCCATCGTCTGGCCATGGAACATAAAGCAGATGGGTAAATACTACAGCATCCTGCGGATATGTCCAAGCGACAAAAATTATGGGGAGCTTGCTCTGCACTCAGCAGGCTTGGTTCATTCGCTTGCTCTCGAGTATCGTCAACTTCAGTACAGGTGCATCGCTTGTCGGACCTGGGTTCGGTAGTAGTCGATTGGCCAGGGATGGAGGGAAAATAGACATGGGCTTTCTGTCATTGGAGTGGGGTGGTGCTTTGTCATTGGGGGTAAAGCCTTCAAGCTGTTTGTTTCATCTTCAGGTTGAGGCCATACCAGCTTCCGTTTGAGGCTTATTGCCATCCGCCGCCAGACCACCATCCCCTCTTCATATTTTGTGGGCTGAACGACGGTCCAGAGAATGTATATCGGGAAGATTGAGATATGCTGGAGGTTGGCTGGAGGTGTAGAATTTGGTTCTGTGATGGCATTGAGGAACACACGTGCCGCGCGTGCGAGGAAGAGGTACTTGGGTAGCAGCAAGTATTTCCATAATTTCCCGCCATACAGCTCCCGTACGGGCCAGCTTGCATGGAAATATTTTCCCTTGCTACACTCGTCTCCGATGTTGCAGTGACTGTGCTTCCGCAGATCACCCACAACGCGAGTCTGATGATATGGTTCAATGGTTGGAGTACTGATTAGCGACTATATTGTCTGGATGGTGAAGTGTCATGATAGAGTAATATGCAACGGGATCGATCGTTCCAAGTGCAGAAGTTAATGCGGCATGTCCATGCAAGTGCGGAGCAAGCAATTTCGGGTATAAACTGTGAATCATTGCTAACGAGTGCTCTGGAAAGCTGCATGGACATCGAAAACGAATCAAGAGCGTGAGAACAAACTGCCATGCCAGTTCTATGATCGCCACTGGAGTCTACTGTCTCGGTCCGAGCATGTCAATCTAAGTATTGTTGTTTTGAAGGGCAGCTGCCAGCTTGATGGACAACTAATCATAACGGCGCCGGCGCCAGCCTCCGACTTGAATTGAATGCAAACTCGCATCAGACAATACTTGCTCAAAAGTTTGACAGGGACCCATGATGACCGGCTGTCAAAAATCTGCTATCAATGAACAGACCTCGGGCCAGCTTGCTATCTTTGGACAGACATTTGGCCAATTCTTGCTCTGAAATCTGCTATTTTCTGGACAGACATATGTAGGAGCTTCCGGGGGCCACTTCTTGCCCTCATATTCTATCATGCGTGAGGGATTCTTTATCTCAATCTATCTCAATTCGCCCTGTCTCTCATACCACCATGCTTGCGCGGCAGGATGACGAGGAGACACCCCTTTTGCAACGACCACAGCAGCCAACGACTAGGACACCTCTACCCTAGGATCAATCATACTGTTCTCACAACTGTCAGATCCTCTTTCTTCTAAGACCCTTGTCCCATTTATTCCTCAAGTCAGTATATTCCCTTTGCTTGGATTTGAGTCTAACTTTGTCAAGCTCATCAATGATCAGAGACATCGGAGTGACTCGCGGAGACGAATCCCAGGTTGGTCACTATGTCGGCATCCTTGTAAGCTTGTTCTTGCCCCTTCGTTCCTTCGGACTTCCTGATGTACTCCCAAGCAATCATCATACTATGCAGCTAATGCTCTGACTGTTTTTTTCATTGGAGTCGACTGCCTGACCACATCGGACGGAAGCCTGTAATACCGACAGCTCTATTAGCAATTTCGGTTTCGATATTTTCTTTTGGGCTGTCGAAGACCTCGGTCTGGTGCTTATGTTAGCGTGTTAGATATCAAATAATAGTTGTGATCGTCAATTACTGATATTCTTGACCAGTCGTGCTGTCTGCGGAGCATTTAATGGAAGTAATAGTGTCATCAAGAGCATGGTGATGGCCATCACTGACGCGACCAATATGCCCAAGGCATACAGTTATATGCCAATTCCGTGGATGATCGCAGCCATAGCTGGGTAGGCATACAGTACATTTACTTTCTTACTTTCGCACTGAGGTTCATGGCATCTAGGCCACTTATTGGGGGATCGCTCTCCCGACCAGCAGACTGAATCCCCGACATCTTTGAGCGACCAGAACTCCTGAAGACCTACCCATATATCCTGTCATGCTCTATTTCGATGATTTTTGTATTAGCAGCTTGGCTAGTCGTGTATTTTTGTCTTAAAGAGGTGTGTGTGATGTTGAAAACTTATATCTGGATCACACTAAGTGCGGTGACAAGAGCGTCTCTACGAGGACACCACCTTGGGAGCTAATCAAAGGAGGTTTCTTGGGACAGTCATACGTAAAGCCTCGCCAGCCATCGAGCAATGTGGTAGTTAATCCTGCAGAAGCGCATCCTGGAGGAGTCCAATCAAAGCCGCTTCGGCTGCGCGCCTTGCAACCCCGAAAGTTTCGACCGCAACAGCAAGTTGTGCCACCACGGGCCTGTTTCACACTGCGTTTAATTCGGTCCTACCTGATTTCCATGCTACACCGATTGAACTTGGTGGCCTTTACCTTGATACTCCTCGCATCGGCGCTATACTTGTGGCATCAGGTGTTTCACACGGCATATTTCAGCTGGTTTTCTACGCTCGTTTACATGATCACCTTGGTGCAAGAGCTATCCAAATCACTGGCATTAGCTCCGGCATACACATCGTCATTATATTTCCAGTGATTAATGCTCTGGCTCGAGCCCATGGGATAGGTTTGGCAGTGTGGCAATGTGTTGCCAGCTCACGCTGACGATTAGCCTGACCTTGTGCTTCCGTTTGTCAATTTAGCACTTCGTGCGTTCCGCTGAACTGAGAAGAACCCATAGCCTGCTTAGCATTATTCATCAGAGCAGCCGCTCCCAATCGTGCATCGCTCGGAGCAACCAATGGAATCGCTCAGATGTTTGCCGCAGGAGCAAAAATCATTGGTCCAGCGTCTGCAGCTTCGGTCTTCTCTTATTCAATGGAGGAAGGGCATGATGCGTGGTTGGTATACTACATCTTGATGGCAATTGCATTTCTCGCAGTAGGTACTTCTTTATTGCTTCGCCGAGATCTCAGTGTATGGGAAGATCATCAATAATATTATCGCAAACGACCGTGTCATCTGTTTACAGCACTGTCAGTATAAAAAATGCAGCAGTCAAGCAGAGGTCTTTCCCTGTTCGTAACTTAACACTGAAGATATATTCCTTCCTGGGAACTCTCTGAGCGCTTTCAAGGAAAGCAATTATTAAGATGGAGACATGATCTTAATGGTATGTAATTCGTCATGTTCCTCCGACGCTATATCAATCCTGACTCATCCGCGACTGCGGCTCTCCCAAGCGAGATCCCCAGTGATCGAGAATTTTATCGTGTTTTCTGGATGCTCGACGTCATTGCAAACATGAACAGGGTGCCGTCGTTTTCGCACGAAAACTCTTGAGCCCAGGCGATTACGGCACTGACAAGCTAGGTACAGTACTGACATGCATGTTGTGAACTCGTGGAGGAACTACAGGACCAGCCAGCATCATGACCTGACCGCGACTTTCGTCACATGCGCCATGGCTCATGCTGTGGCACCGTCGTGACTTTTGTCATCATCTATCTCATGCAAAGGGGTGTCCCTCAGTCGATAGGATTAGTAGATGGAGCGCGACTTATTCTATCTTGAACTCTCTCGACGGTCTTGCATCCAATTGTAGATTAGCCTAGCACATTTCGCGCAAAACAAGGTTTAGTACTTAGTGGGAAGACGCCACAACCTTCCTTCACGTTGGAGTCGTATCTGCAGGCTGAAATAATGCGGAATAGAGTAAAAAAAGTAGGGCGATTCCGCTGTTCATTTGAGTCCAAATTGCAATCCATCTTGACCCTCTTCAGAACGTTAAATTTACAGGGGGGACCCAGTTGACTAGGACTACCCTTTTCAGCCACTTAACGCCAGCTATGTCCGCTGACATAATCCACCGTGTTATTCTCTGGCAACCATTCCAAGGAACGGCTCGACCCTACCCTCGGATCTTCTGTTGTCATCTGGTTCTCTACTAGGCTCTTTTGTAACGAAGGGACACTGTACACCCATTCGTATGACACAGGTCCCCGCCTGACAGTCTTTCACTTGGCAATGTGATGCAAGACGGACATCACCGTGACGCGTTCGGCACCAATCAAGTGGCAGAAATCTTTTAATTAACTTGTCTACAAGATCCCATCACTCACCGATAATCAGTTGGGATAACGTATACGAAGAGGATTCAATGAATTCAAAAACGGTGACGAGGGTAAAATATGGTGCGTATTTACATTGCTTCTATTGTACCCATTCTGGCGCATAGGTTTAGCAACAGTGATGAATGAGATGGTCAAGTGGTGTTAAACAACATGCACCTCCACGCCCTGATATGTCAGTCCTTGAAGTTGGAAGCGGGGACAGTACACTTTTGTTTGCACTTGCGGATGGACATGGAGAAGCGTGCTATCCAGTACCTGGACTGTTAGTAAGTTAGGAATTGATTATAGTGAAGGAGCCCAGCTCGCTCAATCGGTGGTTCACTCTCGGAATCTCACGGCCATTACGTTTAGCTACTGCGATTTCTTACATGAGGACCCATCATTGCTCGAGCGCTCGCAGATTGGGATCTTATCCTCGATAAAGGCACATCCAATGCCATCGCACTGGTGGAGAAGGATGGAAATGGAAGAAGCCTAGTTGAAGATTGTCCGATGATTGCGTATCAACTTGAAGAAGCTCTCATATCCGGGCGCACATTTGTTAATTACATGTACGTATGCATCGTGCCACTTGGCTGGTGAAACTGATAAACTTTAACAAGAACCATTTCCCCAGCTTGTAACTTAACTACCGTTGACGCCTGAGACACGGTCAGAAAAGGTCTGTGGACAGATGCGATACATATTTTTGAATGTATTGATTTCGAATATGTCCCCCAATTTGAGCAGCATCTGTCGTGGACCCTTGTTTGGCTGTGTCTTAGGTATGAGTTACATTCGAATTTCATCATCAAAGATACCGGCCTGAGTATTTGGCGTACATTTCATATCCCAAAAATTCTTGCATAGAGCACCCAATCATTTCATTCGGCAAGAGCACCGGCAGTTTACGATCTATCTACGTCCGCAGTCGAGTGGATTCATTATCGGTGATAATAATTAACAGACGGCGATCATTAGTACCCAGTACAGCATGGATGCGTCAGTGTGCTTTCCCTTGATACTGATGCGTAGCTCATTGAATCTACTTAGCACGGTGACATACAAGCAGGCTGCTCTGAACGTCATCGATGCTTATCTTATAAATATTGGTTACAGTAAGTCCTGCATCGCGAAGTGAACCATCTACTGATCAGCGAGTGTGACCGCAGTCCGTGAGCAAGCATGCAAGTGAGTGTTCTGTGAGAGGGAAAAGGCGTTCATTTTCATTCAGACCTTTTGATGTCTGCTGCGCCAGTGGAAAGCCATGTTGGTGCAATTGCGATAAGTCAAGTCCAATTTGAGTTCCTCGATATTTTTATTCAATTTTATCTCGGGACTCTCCAAATGCTTGTGTGACTCTCGCTCTCCCCTTGGGGATCTTTGAGCATGTGAGCTTGTTGTAATACATGTAGTCGATTCAACTACATGATGTATAACAGACATTTCACCTAAGGATGAAGGTTTGAAGAAGAATTCGGGCAATGTGCTGTGCGCGGCGACGGCGTGCTGTAGAATGGGTAGGTTTTCAGGAGTTCTGATCGCCCAAAGATGTCAGGGAATCTGTCTGCTGGTCGGGAGAGTGATCCCCCAATGAGTGGCCTAGATGCCATGAACCTTAGTGCGAGAGTAAATGCACTGTGTGCCTACCCAGCTATGGCTGCGATCATCCACGGAATTGGTGTATAACTGTATGCCTTGGGCATATTGGTCACGTCAGTGATGTCCATCACCATGCTCTCGACGACACTATTCAGTGCTCTCATTAAATGCTCCACAGACAGCACGACTGGTCAAGAATATCAGTAATTGACGATCACAACTACTATTTGATATTTAACACGCTAACCTAAGCACCAGACCAAGGAAGGTTTTCGACAGCCCAAAAGAAAACATCGAAACTGAAATTGCTGTCAGTATTACAGGCTTCCGCCCAATGTTGTCAGGCAGTTGACCCCAATGAAAAGTAGTCAGCGCATTAGCTGCATAGTATGATGATTGCTCGGGAGAATATCAGGAAGGAACGAATGGGCAAGAACAAGCTTACAAGGATGCCGACATAGCGACCAACCTGGAATTCGTCTCCGCGAGCCACTCCGATGTCTCTGATCATTGATGAGCTTGACAAAGTTAGATTCAAATCCAAGCAAAGGGAATATACTCACTTGGGGAATAAACTGGACAAGGGTCTTAGAAGAAAGAGGATCTGACAACTGCGAGAACAGTACTAGTATGATCCATAATTGATCCCCGGGCAGAGGTGTCCTAATCCGAGTCGTTGGCTGCTGTGGTCGTTGCAGAAGGGGTGTCTCCTCGTCATCCTGCCGCGCAATCATGGTGGTACGAGAGACAAGTTTGTAGTATGTACCTTGCTATGACTCCGAGCTAGCTCGGTTGCCTTACGGCTATCCATCATATCGATAGACAAAAATTCAATTAGTCGTTGCAACACCAAACAGAGGCAGCGCTTATTCGTATTATATGTGATTGGCTGTGCCGCACACTGACAGTCTATAGACTCATCTGTACATGCCAGGCGTCAAAGGAGGGCCATGGCTGACGCTCATCGAGAAATTCAACCAGCGCATTATATCGCTGAATCGAAACAATGGCTTCCAGGTCCAAGTCAAGATAGAGCAGAACACATGCCCAGTTTCATCCGTGTTGTATCATGGAATATTGATTGCATGAGGCCAGAGCCAGACCTTCGCCTAGACGCTGCTCTCTCCTATATCCAGCACCAGGTCTTCAAGTGCAGGACAAATCGTAGGCGGCCTGAACCATGCTCTATCCTCCTCCAAGGCGTCCTGGCTACAGCATTCGATACCATTCTCAACAACAAGTGGGTCCAGAATTTCTTCGTCGTCATTCCTTCAACCACAGACGCCTGGCCTAAGCTCGCAAAGTATGGCACAGTCACCCTCCTCTCTCGTTCCATTCGCATCATGAAGTCAACTTCTATCCATTTCGGCTGCTCTGAGTCGCAGCATCATGCTATTTTCGTGGACGTCAAGCTAAGCGGTCTCCTCGATACAGCCCAAGCTCTCCCACCATCCGAGTCTGTCGTCACCTTGCGAATTGCTAACACCCACCTTGACCCATTACCCGACGGCACCCCAATCAGGGAGAAACAACTCAAACTTGTCGCTGGTGCTTTAATGCAGGATGGGCTGTTTGGAGGAATCGTTGGAGGTGACTTTAACGCTGTTTCACCCGACGACTCCGCACTGGTTGAATCTGTTGGCTTGTGGGATGCATGGAGCGGCGACGATGAAGGAGGCTTCACTTGGGGGTATCAACCTCGTTCTCCGCTTACACCAGGAAGACTAGACAAGTTGGTCTATACGCCTCGTCCAGGTTTATTTATAGATACCCCAAAGAAGATAGCTCTTGGGAAGAAATACGGGAAGCTGATGCGGAGGAGGTGGATCAGTGACCATTATGCTCTACTGACCAAGGTTCAATGCGTATATTTTGCATCCGACGCTTCAGATGTAAGCCCAGTATTCTCGACACTGGCATGTTCTAGTTCTCATGATACGTTCAGCATGATCCATCAGACCACGGGCACATCCAACAAGGACTGAGAGAGCAAAGGAATATCGAAACATGCTCGCTTGATGTTAGCTCACACTTCTCTTACCCTAACCTGCTTCTGACTGTTTCGGTGACTAGCACCCACTCGTGTCTCATTCACCACCCCGTAGCAAACACATTATTCCACTCCATCCCGGTACCAATTCTCGGTCCAGACGGAAGGCCTGGAAACGCTTGCTGCGCATGAAGTCGTCAAGGTAAGGCATACACTCGCGTTGCGGAAGTCGTGATCATTGACAGATGTAGCCCGAGTGTAGAACAGCATTCTGACGAGACTAGGACCCTCTGAAAGGAAAGGCCAGATACCCACTTCTAAGTACATATTAGTTCGTGCCCCTCCTGCATTCATTCACGCTAAATTGGCACTAATGAATCTCCAGACCCGCACATACTCGCGCACATCACGCATATACATTACTTTCTAGCTGGACCTCACACAACCAACAATTTATCATGATTTACTGTAGAATATTTTGTATGCTATCACGCCGCGGCTGTCTTGAATTTATCTTATCATGTTTTTTGGGTTGATTCAAAGTCCGATGATCGTCTTTCACCAGTATCACCGATGCAGGACAGCTGGCCGCAAGCTTGAGGCGGGGAGCAAAGTCTTCAGATCTAATAGTAATACTACTTCCCCACCTCCAGTGTATCTTCATGTCGAGCTCCGCTGCCTCCCCACGCCCCGCAGAACGGCAAGACATTCACAAATCATGTCAAACGCTCGAGACAGTCATAAACATGCTTAATGACTACTGCGAAGCTGCAGGGGCTATCGTCGCACTACAGCGGAAAGCTGTCAAAAGCCCTCAAAGAAGCTGCTGCCCTCAAAACCACTAATGAGATCGCAGGTGAGTTTGCCTTCCCAAATCCAAGTATCGGGCTTTCTCACGAAACGGCAGGCAACGCTTTGAACGTCAGCGCAAGCATATTCGACGTTCTTTCTGATATCGATGCTAAGTTTGCAAGAATAGCTGATAAGGAATGTGGCAGTATCAGTTCAGAGATGAAAAAATGGTCCAAGAAGCTCGCAGTACGTTTTACGTTCCTCACTCCACCTGCCCTCGCTCACTCACTTACCGACGATTGAAGAAAGAAGAGAAAGCTCATGACGAACGTATGGATGATTCAAATGCTCGTATAAAGCAAGCTGGTACGTTACATCACGTTGTCATTCGCTCTGGCTTGCGTTGTCTCAACGGTTCCTGTAAGGTCAGGCATACGAGAAGAAAGCTAAGAAGAGCGCACGCGATGTCGGGGAAGAACACGCTCGTTATGTTAATCTTCTCAGTATACTTGGTCCTGAGATGTCTCAGGAGAAATAGTACGTTGCACGTATGACTACTGGAGTGTTCTTAGTTTTGACTGTGCATCCGACAGTAATCATGCCTTGCTCGTAACGCAACAGCACACATTGACTACGTACAGCGTAGCAGCCTGCCTATCGAGGGTTGCAGATGCAGAATGGGCGCGGACATGTGAAAGCATCCGTCGATTCTCCCCGTCTATTGGGTCGCTCGGCGAATGGCGAGCTCTTTGCGAAGGCGCGTGGACAGGTCCTTTACCCAATGGCCTACCGGACATCTCACCCACACCTGCTCAAGCTCTACTTCCAACCCGGGGCGTAACAGAATGGGGTCAAAACATCCCGCCCAGCAAACACGAATACCAAACTTCGCTTCCCCTTCCCTCACAAACCAATACCGCCGACCTCGAACGTCCCCACCCACCATTCAGCTCCAATGAGCATAATCAGAACCAGGACTCCATCAGCTCAATAACGACTCTCAGCGCGTTCCCCTTCCCCCCGACACATTTCCCCATTCCTCTAGCTGCCAACGAAGCAGAGCTACAACGTCAGAGAACGCAAATGCAGAGTTTGCAAGTTCCCCAATCAGCTCAACAGCATATCCTACTATCGGAATCTCCACAGCCGATCGAGAGTACGCTTTCTGATACGCATATGCTTGTTGATTTCCAGTTGCATTCTGTGTCCAAGGGACAGACTACGCTTTCGTCTTCACAGTATGGGTACTCTGATGATCAGTTCGAGGGGAGAATGGAACAGGAAATTACTGGACCGGGCATATCGACTGGTAGCGAGAAGAAGGTCCTGGAACAGACGCAGTCCCAGTCCCACGAGGAAGCAAAAGTTTGTCGACCATCCCTGATTGCACGAGCGACTTCGAGCGAGAAAAGACTCGGCAGTAAGCAACCAGAGCACACTCCTCCTTCAGAGCGCGAGTTCGGTGCTTCAGCGGAGAGCCGCAGCGCATTCAAAAGCCGGAGTATCGATGCTGCGAAGAAGACGCTTGACCGCACTGATAGTTCCGTGAGCAATGGGAGTATTGTTGCTGCTATGCGTAATCGTTACAGTCGTACGGTGAGTAGATGGTATTTAATTCTTTGATGTGTTGGGCTGATTTTTATTTGCATTGAGGTCGAGCCTTTGCCTCTGGCGCCGAAAGATGTACCACGCTTGCCGATGAGGGTTTCAGATCTCGCTTCTAGGTATCAGCCTATAGATGAACCCACGACTCCTCGACGTTCGCCGACCGTGGATAGACAGGCGGTCAATCAGGATCCTCTTGCTTCCCAAGCCACCCGTGCCAGCCCTTTCGGCGAAGACGATATTCGAAGGGGGAGATATCGCATCGAACAGCTCGCAGAACTAGAGCTTAAGGACAAAGAATACGAGCTCCGACAGCACGAACGAGAACTCAACCAGAAAACGCGCGATTTGGAGCTCGATCGAATGCATTTTCTTGACGCACGAGGCGGTACGAGTGACACGCCCAAAGGGCCTCATGCAACACCATTCCAGCACAAACGTGGCTCACAAAGTACTTCACACCTCATCCCTCCACCGAACTCGACTTCACCGCAACGAGGATCTCAATCTCCATCACGCTCACAACCGTCTTCTCCTCTACCTGCAAAAGACCACGCGCCATTTTGCGGCTGCGATACGTGTTCTATCGCTAAATACAAAACGCCAGAGGTTTTACCCTCTCCTCACGATCTACGTCCTCCCGAGCCTCCTATTCTCTTACGCCCTGAGAAGCCCATGGGCTGGATACGAAGACTGAGCATGCCTGCTGTGGGTGCGGCATTCTCGTTGGACGCGAAGAAGAATGTGAGTGCTACGAGTCTCAAGTCTGGGTTATCGTCTGCGGTTGATAATGGGAGACGGAGGAAGCGTAGTTTTGATCAGGGGATTAGTAATCGGAGCATTGGGGTGGTACGGAGGTAGTGTGATATATGCTTTGGATTGTTTTCGTTTTTTTTTTGCTTTTGGATACATGTTTTGTCTTGCTTTGCGGTTAACGTTGATGAATTTTCCGTCATGGTTTACTTACGACTCATGCACGCTGAATCATGATCTGATTACCGTGAATATCGTGCTTGCTTGGACTGAAACGAATAAGCCATATTATACCAATGGAACTGAATCACGAGAAAGCTTCGGATCTCTGTGCTATAGAACATAGAACTAAAGAGATGTTCCTCAAATTTAAGGTCTTCGAGGGTGAAATTTGTTCACTGTGACAACCAAGCACTCAGCAACAAACTACTTACGTGTCGTGTGGTCAACCACACTGCACCAATGCGAAAGCAGAAACACGACTTACTGTCGCTTAGCACTCATGAGTCGGGCGTCAAACACAATAATACGACCGAATACTACCACACCGGCGAGTCACGGGGTTAGATGAAAACTACTCATACTCACAGTTATGGGGTCAGCTACTACTGCCTGGCAGGTATAACCAGGGCAGCAATCTCCCTCGGAGCAGAAGGACATGGAACATTGATCCTCAGCGACAGGCATGGACACCGTCAACCTGAAAGCGGCAGCAACGGCGAGGATGAAGAAGAGACGCATTCTTTGTGAGATGTGATATGGGCTCCCCAAAAAAAAAATCTGAAGGGGACGGTAGGAACGCAGCAGCCAACTTGCCTTTAAATGTTCCCTGTCCACCTGCCTGAACACTCCTTCGAACAGATGACGCTTGCATTGCCAGCAGAGCTCGGGATTGACTTGCTCTGTCCCCGACATTCTCGTGGCATAGGAAAGGCTGGGAATGTGTAATTCCAACCTGTTGTTGCATACGGTTAGTACGACAGGTGACACAACCATCCTGCAGGCTGGAGCCGGGCTCAGGCCCGGGACTCATGGATGCTGAGAAAAATTCAGAGTCTCATCGTGCATGGGGGAACTGACACGAAACCGGATACCGGGAGATCAGCACCAATTGATCGGCGAAATAGGTTGACGATTATACGTATCTTTGTCCAGCTGCAGCAATTAATGTTAATGAGCTCAGCTCTTATAAAAGGTACTGTCACATTGCAGTGAGATATTACGTGATTTAGAGACTGTTGTGTGCCACAAACGTTGTTGTGGCTTACTTACGACTGATGCAGTGGCTGAATATTGAATATTGAATCATGATCTGATTGCCGTGAATGTCGCGCTTGCTTGGACTGAAACGGATAAGCCAATCCCAATGGAACTGAATCTAGAGTAGTAGTATTGCTTGAGTAATAAGGATCAATGACTGAACAAGCAAGTCGGTACTGGCGTTCTTGCCAAAGAGCGCTAGAAACAAACGATGGCATAAGAGAGCTTTGGATGTCTGTACCACTGAACTTAGAACTAAAGAGATGTTCCTCAAATTTAAGGTCTTCAAGGGTGAAATTTGTTCACCGTGACAAATGAGCACTCAGCGCTCAGCAACGAGATACTACTTAGTACTTACTATGTGTCGTATAGTTAACTATGGCACACTGCACCAATGCGAAAGCAGAAACACGACTCACTCTTGCTCAGCGCTCCATTGGGCAATATGCGACCTGATGCTACCACGCCGGTGAGTCACGGGGTTAGATAAAAACTACGCAAACTCACAGTTACGGGGTTAACTTCAATTTCATGGCAGGTATAGCCAGGGCAGCAAGCTGTCCAGGAGCAGTAGGTGGAGGAACAACAATCCTCAGGGACAGGCGTTGACCCTGTCAACCTGAAAGCAGCAACAACAGCAAGGATGAAGGTGAGACGCATTCTTGATATGGGCTTCCCAAAAAATCAATCTGAAAGGGACGGTGGGAACGCAGCAGCCAACTTGCTTTTAAATATTCCTTCAATCCACCTGTCAGAACACTCCTTCGAACAGATGCCAGCAGATTGCCAGCAGACTTCAGGATTGACTTGCTCTGTCCCTGACATTCTCGTGGCATAGGAAAGGCTGGCAATGTGTAATTCCAACCCGTTTGTGCATACGGGATGATACGGCCTACGATGCTAGGTCACTAGGTGACACGTCAATCCCTCAGGCTAAGGACATCTGGGAATTCCAAATTGGGAACTATCGCACAACTCCAGTCACTCGGTTCCCCCTATTGCCCGAACTTTAAACCGGACTTCGGTAAGGTTCGAAACGGTTCGGGTTCGAACCGTGGTTCAGGCCACAGGCCTCAGGACCGGACCTGGCCATCACTACTTGAGTAAGCAGGTGGACTTTTGTGCCTAGAGTTTCGATAAAGCACGTGTATGACTTTTGTGCACAACGTCCTGGTGGCCACATGGATGACTTTTGTCAAATCAATTCGAATTTTAGTTATAACAAGGACTCCCCTTCGGTCGGCTCTACGACAATATGATGTCGTGTTTACAGTAGCAACTCAGGAAATACTATATCAGCGTCGTCTCTGCAAATAGATAGTGTCTCTTCGCGTTCTCACTTTCGACAACACCGTGCACAATCGGCCGCGAGCGAAGGGATCAGTCCGGAGGTCGAGCACGGCTTGCGTTAGCGTCAAACCTTGACATCCATTTAATGTAGTTGCATATGTGTGTCGCAGAGGAAACTGTCTTCGGTTCACTGTCCATGGCGAACGGTTTGTATGGAATGCCAAATGTATTGAGAAGTTGAAGATTGGTTGAGGAAGCGACGATGCAGCACGACGATGTGCACGCGCGCGTTTCTGACCAATCCCATTTCTACCGAGAGGTTACATACTCCAGGATGGGTTAACATCGCAAGATATTCGAGTGTGTATTCTGGTTCGTTCAATCGAGTCTGCTCAGCTTCTTTCAGGCTGTCTGAACTAAAATAAGATTCTACATGGCTTCTGCAGTGAAATGTGTGATTGATATCACTTGTGATACTTACAAAAATCGCCTGGCAAGTTGTCTAGAATTTTGTCACTGGAAATCCATCATCATAGACGTTGAGAGGGGAAAGGAATGCACGATCAAGACAGCTTTCAGCGTCTTCGAGAATTGCTGGGAAGAGGTCGTCAATGGTGTCATCGAAGTTTGTGGTCCAACAACGCTGTGAAATGAAGCAGAGGTCCCCATAAGTACTGAGCAAAGAGCCGGTAAAAACACGTTAAGAGGAGACAGAACGCAACAACACAGCATGATGTGATGGACGCAATAGCACCCGATGCCGGCGGTATCTCGTGCTTAATACATGTAGACGTCGATTTATTTACTTTATCGTTTTGATTTCATTTTGTCCAATACGGTCCCTCATAGCTCTTGCCAAAGAGCGCTAGAAATAAACCATGGCATAAGAGAGGGATGTCTATATTTTAGAACTAAAGAGATGTTCCTCGAATTTAAGGTCTTCAAGGGTGAAATTTGTTCACCGTGACAAACGAGCACTCAGCAGCGAGCTACTACTTACTACGTGGCGTATGGTTAACCACACAGTGCACCAATGCGAAAGCAGAAACACGACTCACAGTTGCTCAGGACTGCAGACAGAAATATGCGTATTGATGCTACCACGCCGGTGAGTCACGGGGTTAGATAAAACTACGCATACTCACAGTTACGGGGTTAATTACTACTTCCTCGCAGGTATAGCCAGAGCAGCAACCTGTCCAGGAGCAGGAGGTCTTAGAACATTGTTCCTCAGGGACAGGCATTGATCCCGTCAACCTGAAAGCAGCAACAACAGCAAGGATGAAGGAGAGACGCATTTTTGATGAGATGTAATATGGGCTTCCCAAAAAAAACAATCTGAAAGGGACGGTAGGAACGCAGCAGCCAACTTGCTTTTAAATGTTCCTTATCCACCTGCCAGAACACTCCTTCGAATAGATGCCAGCAGATTGCCAGCAGATTTCAGGATTGACTTGCCCTGTCCCCGACATTCTTTTGGCATGAGAAAGGCTAGTAATGTGTAGTTCCAACCCGTTGGTGCATACGGGATGATACGACCTACGATACTAGGTGACACGTCAATCCCTCAGGCCAAGGGCATCTGGGAATTGGACAACTCCAGTGGGTCTATCCGCTTTCCCCATTCACCAGCTTGTGAATTTTGTCTATCGCATAGCTGTCGTACTCCGTCTTCCAGCAGATCTTCTCAGCCACCTAGTATATCCTTCTTCCTGCTCGAGATATTCCACCAGTACATTCTCATACTTCTTTGTTGTGCAGTGATGTCCGGCCCGGCTTCAAGCCCTGGAGAAGCCAATTACAAAGGAAGTTTCGGTTCGGGGAAGGCGCGAACCCACATTGGAAACGTCCTGGAGACTGCAGTGGACCGCGAGCCTCATTTTGGTTCGGTCCGTCTAAATTGTGGAACCACGGTTCGGGACCGGACCACGGCAGCACTCTACGTGACTATAGACTGAAGTTCCAGATTACCATAAGGCTCACATATGAATATCACTGCGACTGTGCGCTGACGATGATAAATTATATTCTGCAAGCTTACAACAAGACGAACGACAATGCGTCATATGTATTTCAGTCATATTTTATGGAGTCGAGTGTTAACGAGGTATTCCTCAAATTTAACTTGAAGGTGTTCAACTTGAATGCTCTAGCAGGGTAAAATTTGTTCACCGTGACAACTGAGCACTCAGCAGCGAACTACTTGCTAGTACGTGTCGTGTCGTCAACCACACTACCCAAATGCGAAAGCATAAACATGACTCACCGTCGTTCGGTGTGTCACCGTATCAGACAAAACAATCCGTCCAACCTACCATGCCGGTGAGTCACGGGGTGAGATAAAAACTACTCATACTCACAGCCTGTCGACTACGCATGTATAGCCAGGGCAGCATTTTTCCAAGGCGCAGGAGAAGGGACATTGACTATCAGCGACAGGCATAGACACTGTCAACTTGGAAGCAGCAATAACAACGAGGACGAAGGAGAGACGCATTCTTTGTGAGATGTGATTTGGGCTTCCCAAAACAATTCTGAAGGGGACGGTAGGAAGACAGCTTTCTTTTATGTATTCTGTGCAAGAACCTGTCCACCTGGCTAAATACACCTTCAAACAGATGACGTTTGCATTGGCAGCAGACCTTAGGATTGACTTGCCACTCTGTCCCCGATATTTTATTGGCGAGGGAAATGCTGGTAATGTGCAATTCCAATCCGTTGTTGCATACGGCCTACGATGATAGGTGACACGACGATCCCTGGTGCTGGGGTCTCATGGATACCGAGAGAAATTCAGAGTCTCGTGGGGGAACGCGGAACTGGATACCGGGAGATCAACACCAGCGCTCAGCACTCAATCAGCAGCCTGTGATGACATTAATAAAAAGGGAAAACGATCTGTTGTTGCCCACTGTTGTCGGATAAGTTGAAGGACCCAGGTATACTCAACCTGTAATCTCTTATTTTCGGAACGCGCACTACGCGTGCGGGCCATCATACGTATACTATTAACGAGCTCAACATTCCCTGCTATATTAGGTACTGTTGTCATAAAAGTTCCTTTTCATGGACACAAAAAGGGGTTTCGGCGTAATGACTGGGCCTTTCAGAACCTCCGAGGATCTATACCACCGAAAAATGTTGACAGTAGGTTTCGAACCAACTCCAAGAGAGACAGATTTTGACTCTGTTGTGGTAACCACTTGGCTAACACCAGTTAGATGGACCTCTGAGGAGACAACCCATGAATCGATGTCAAGGTGTGTTCCGATAGAAAAAGGCCTGTCATTCGGCAGGTTTCGAACCTGCGCAGTCAAAGAGAAACAGATTTTGATTCTGTTGCATCAACCACCTGGCTAGGATCAGTTAAAATGAACATCCGACGGAACCATCCATGAGTGAATGTCGAAGTGTGTTCCGATGGGGACCTTGTCATCAGCAGGTTTGACAGATTTTGATTCTGTTGTGGAAACCACCCATGAGTGAATCTTCAACGATAGCAAAAAAAACCTTGTCTTTGACAGGTTTCCCAGGACGAACTTGAGATAAACCTCCCACGAGCGAATCTTCGAGCTTCAAGGCGTGTTCCGATAGAAAAAACCTGTCGATCAGCAAGTTTCGAACCTGCACAGTCCAAGAGAAACAGATTTCGATTCTGTTTGTAGTAGCCACTTAGCTAAGACTAGTTAGATGCACCTCCGAGAAAGCCATCCACGAGTTAAAGTCAAGGTGTGTTCCGAGAGAGAGAAAACACTTGTCATCGGCAGATTTCGAACCTGCGCAGTCCAAGGGAAACATATTCGAATTCGGTCGCGGTAACGTTCACGTTGGCCAGGACGCTTCCCAAGCTAAGATGAACCTCCGAAGAACTGTCCATGAGTGTCTCATGTCAAGGTGCGATAAGATATTTGTCGACTGGTTTTGAACTCGTGAAATGCCTCCTGTGTCGGCTGAAACCTTGCTTGTCATATTCACTGTAGCGGCGTGATCTACATGATGACAGGCTAATGGAACTAACCCAAATAACGGACGAATGGTGGAAGATTAAATATGACAAAAGATCATGATAGCGAAAAGGCTTACCACGTGCACTTGGCTAAGACTGGTCAAGACAGACGTCAGACCTTCAGACTTGGACGTCTGTAGTACGAGTCGAAGAACATCATGCATTGACGGTAGAATCACAGGGTTAGCAGTCATTTGCCGACACAAAATAAAATAAAAAGACTAATTCGATGTCCACAAAACATGTCAGGAATAAGCGAGTTGGGAGCTAGCGCCGGCGCCGTTATGACCCTAATTTTAATAGCAACGTACAGCCACAATTATGGGCTGATATATTAATATCAACCTTGTGGTACAAAGATGCATCTCGATGAATACTTCGTATCATGTTGTCGTTCTTATTTGATTTTGCAAGACTAGAACCGAGGTCTCCTAGAGAGGGAGTTCATCAAGTGCTGGTGCCCACTGTTCGCGCTTTCCCTACTCAAAAGCTACAGGCATCAAAATTATTAGTTCCAAGAGTAGCAGTATCACAAGTTCGTCAGACGTAAAGTAAATGATGAGCAATATCACGAATTAGGGGATCTACGTAGCACACCCGAGCGCCTGCACCTTACTTCTTTTTCTTCTTCTTCCCTCCCCCTCCCCCACCCTTGCTGTTGCTTTTCCCCATCGGCGGGGCATTTACCTTCCCTTTCTTCGTCTCAACCTCCTCTTTGTCCTCCTCGGGATCATTACCCTCTCCATCGCCTGTCGGAACGGACGGCTCTCCAGGAGCAGTGGCGGTTTCTACAGGGGGGGTTTCTTCTGGCGCCTTCTCCGCAGTTGTTGCTGCATCGTTAGAAGCTGGTGCTACCTCTTCTGGCGCTGGCGCCACTGCGTCCGCCGCGTTGCTTGGTACTTCAGCTGGCGCGGGGAGCTCTTCTGTCATCGGTACAGGAGCAGCCGGTGGATCAACCCCTACATTGGCAAGAGCGTGATGAAGTGGAAGTGGGGATGCGTTAGGCTTCGGTGAAGGCATGGGACTCTTCTTGTCATCACCGATGAGGAGGTTACCGAATGATCCTGCAAGGCTTGGAAGAGAAGAAGTATGATCGGCTGGAAGTAAGGATGAACCAGGTTTCGGCGAGGACTTGGCACTCATCCTGCCATCAGTACCGAGGAATCCTACGAAAGTTGAGCTGATGCCTCCTGTCATAGACCAGCTATTTGATAATCTCGACGCCCCCCATCCGGCGGTCTTCACACTGGCGCCCCATCCGAGGCTACCGCCTCCACCCAAAGCAGGGGAAGCAACAGGCTCTGTCTGTTCAGCGGAACCCCACGCCTCATCAGGGTCCCAACCACCATCGCCATTGGTGTCATCAGCTGATGCAGATGGTGCTTCCGACGCGAAATTGAGCTCGAGTGCGGGTGCAGAAACCTCAATACCCAGAACATTGGATTGCGTCTCTGTGACAGTAAGAGTTGACTCCGTGTGCTGCTCGGCAACCACCACTTCTGAAACCTCTGCAATCACGGCGAGGTCCCGGGGAGCTTCCGTAGAGATAAGCTCAATAGGAACTGTGTCTGCCGGTGTGGTAGATGACGGCGGGCCTTCCGTCCTTGTCGCTTGCGTAATCTCAACCGAGAGCTCTCTCGTTGTCTCCTGAAGCACTTCAGAAACGACAGTGGTAGACATCGAGTGATGGGCTTCTCCGAGTGCAGGTGTAGGTGGTTCTGAAAGCTTGACCTCCGCAATCTTTGGCGTAGCTTTGTGAGACAGCGGAGGGGGAGCTTCGGTCTTCGGCGTTGTTGGCTCAAGAGATTTGGAGGTTTGAACCAGTGGCGAGGCTCCAGGCGTATTCGCCTTGGAAGCAGAGCCCCATACAGATGTAAGAGTTTCTGCTAGCTGACCAGGACTCTTGCCCACGGTGGTGTCAGCTGGGTCAATCGGGGAAGGAGGTACGGTGGTCTTGGGGGTCTTGCTTTTCCCCTTGCCTTTGCCTTTGGCAGGAGGTTCAGCCTCCCGTCCGCGAGTTTCGACAGTAATTGGAGGTGCAGGCTGGGAAGTGACTGAGAGTGTTTGTTGGGAAGAAGTTGTATGGACATGCTGAGAAACAGCTGAGACAGAAAATTTAGAAGCAGTCGAGATCCTGCGGTCTCGCTCAACAGTGCCCGCAACTGCTGTGGAGACCTTGGATGCGGTAGACACAGTCCGTTCTCGCTCGACCTCCCGGACGCTTTGCTCAGTCGTGGATGCAGTGTGAGAAATTGACGCCGTGTTGTTCCTCGCCCCACGCTCAGTGGCCGTTGGGGTCGGAGGTGAGGGGCTAGACACCTTGGAAGTGGATGACTGAGTTGCGACTACACTCGTCTGGCTACGCTCTTGGACTTCTATGAATGTGGACTCCACTCGTGAGGCTCCCAGAGGAGTTCTGGTACCTGAAGCCAGTGACTCGCGAGAATCAACGCGAGAGGCAGCGACGGAACGAGAGCGTGATGGCGCGGCGGAATGAGAGCGTGACGGCGCAACGGATCCAGAACGCGATGGGGCGTAGTCATCCTCTGATATCTCTAGTTCGTCTTCGTCGGCACGGTGGCCGCTCTCGCTGTATACGATAGACGCAGGTCCACTATAGACAAAGTTAGAGATGTCACCGGTTCTATGCGAATTTCTACATACTACTTGATCGTTCCCTAATATTATTACAATTAACTTAGCACACGTAAGAAAAAATACACGGAAATCACTCACGTTGTCATTCCACTTTATCCGGGCTTTGAACTCGGTGAGACCAAAGTGAATCTCAACACTGAACACGATCGTCCAGTATGTCTTGCCGTTCTTGCCTTGTTTAGGCTCCGCACTTCCGCTGAGGAGCGACAGGTCAGCACGGACTACACACAAAGTCGAATAGTCCTCTGTCAATGGAAGAAAGGAAGGCCGTGGATCAGCACGGCATTCAGGTTCATGTTCAGAAATACCCACCTGCGTGGCGTAAAATCCACTGCGGAATCGTGTCACCACCTCTATAGCACCATATCTCTACCTCGAACACAGAAAGGGTAGACAAATTTGTGAGTTCCGTGCAATACTTCCGCGAGAACACCGTGGATTCCTTAACCTTCACACACTGCAAATATGAACGATCGTGAAGTCAGCCCACGTTCCAATGAGATCACCAAACACATACTCGAGCAAGGATACAGTCAAATGCATCGGGCAGAAGCCGAGGACCAGAAGGAAGTTCGCAAAGTCGATCTTTCCGAGACTGGTGCTCCGGATCGTTGGGATCGTACTCACGCAAGTACTCCACCCCATACATGAATTTCGACATGCGGGCCGAAACATGGTGATCGCAGTAGAAGCCAAGTGCGCCATCGGCCACGGCTTTTGAACTAAATCGTACGATATTAGAGAGAAGAAATACTGGAATGATCATATATCCTCTTACGTCTGGCTGTCAGGTCTGCTCACAGTAATCTTCAGTGGAGCGAGGCGTTCCTGTAACTGAGTAAAGAGCCACGGGCTGGCCGCAAATCCTCCCACCAACCAGACGGACTATGAAAAGGCGATCATTAAGGCCTCATGGTAGTTCGTGATGAATAACGCACTTTTATCATCCCTTGCGATGCATCAACCTGGGCTTTAATTGACGTGATTGCCGCCTGGACAGAGGGCTCAAAGAACTCTGCCACCTCCGTGCTATCGAGCATTATTTTTGGAATTATAATGGATGTCTATTCACCGACTTACCCATCGAGTTTCAACTGACCTCCGCGGATGCCGACTGAGAGATCCTTGTCAAGTGGAGAGCCGAATGGAACAAATTGTAAATCCTTTTTGTCTCGGAATAGCCGTTTAGTGGTTTCGTCGAAGCGTTTCGTGATGTGGTCGATCGAATCGGAAGTGCCATACTTCGAACCTTTGAGCTTCTCTACACGCAGGATGAGATAATGCCTTGTGTAATGATAATGCAACTAAATATAGTTCACCTTCAAGGAATTCCCGTGCCCTTCGGCTGACGAAGACTGATCCGGCAAATATACCTTCGGAAGCAAATGATCAGACGCGAAAATAGACAAGAGGACGCGTCAGCGTATTCTCACAATCAGGAGGAGCCACCTCCTCGATTACCAGGGGATTGGTCCCTCGAACTGCGTAGGAACTGATATCAAGCGTGCCGCCGCCCGCATCAGCTACAAGGAACCCGTGCCTAGACGGATTCTAAAGGACACGTCAGACAAGAAGTTCGTGTGTGGGATATGTTTGAAATACACACAGAAAGGACATCGGCAGCAAGACCGCTTTGGACACAGGCGTGGAGACTAGCTTCGCCTTCCGTGACAAATCGGATTCGCGCTCGACCTTGGTCCGTATCAGGAATCAAACCCCCATACACGGCAGCGCGTCGCATCTTCGTCTGCTGAGCACCTTCCCAACCGTTTGGATGACTCAACACGAACTCCATGCTGTTTTCGACATGGTGCCACAATGTCTGGCCGTTAGCATGTGTATCTATGATAAAACTCTTCGTGCAGCGGAAGAGATAAGCGAGGAAGTCTCCAAAAACATCGACGGAAGTTTTATGCCGTGGCAGCGAACTCAGGCGCATCCCATTCATTTTCAATTTCATACTCTTCGGCCGGAGGCGAAGCTTGAAACTGGCAAGTAGCGGTGTCAAAATTTGGTCACACAGGAAGGAATGTACACATACAGTTCCGTTTTGATCCATTCCTCGTCCTCAGCCTGGCTTATTATAGAAGCATTGTCTGCCTCAGCGCCAGCAGCCATGACTCTGCCATGCCTATCGTAATACATGACGGAGGGAATCTTAGAATTGCCAGCTACATGTTCTTGACCAGGAAAACTGATCGGGGAAAGAACGGACGCGATTTCTGTCAGAGAATACGCGCCACTCGAACGAGATGCTCACCGAGTGACACCGTGGATCTTTGGGACCTCGCCTGGTTCGAGTAGAGCATATGATACACCACTGAAAGTGGTTCCGACGTCGAGAGCGATGATTAGTGCACGCGAGGAGCCGGCATAGGGCTTTCGCGGGTCAGAAGCTGGCTTCATGTCAGGTGCAGATAATGTTGAGAAAGTCGGATTGTTGATGCTAGATATGAGATTACGAGGTCATATATGTACTATGTACTAAGTCGGGGGGCGGGTGACTCGAACAAAGGCAGTCCACACGAGGCCAGGATGAAAATGATCGCAGCGTGTCAGCAGTGCATGCTGCACAGACAAGGGCTAGAATGAGAATCAAATGAAGCAGCCGTTGAATCAGCAAGAAGATAATTGGAGTTGTAAGTTACCACGAGGATGATCACGTACATTCTTCCATTGGCTTTCCACGGACAAAAACGCAACTGCCTCGAGGCTTAAAGAAGAACCTCGTGCTGCGCTGGAAATAGGGCTTGGGACTTGCTTGTACCGCAGAGATTGCCCAAGGAGGGAATCATTGCCAGGAATTTGGTTGGGACTGTGGCAAAGCCTGGCACTTGTCAGTGGTTATATCTACCTCATATGATCTCACATAAAATTTCGCTAACACATAGATCATAAAATCGAGTCAGTGATTAGGGCTGAAGCAACGCGCTGATACGGTTGTTTGGTTGTCCGTTCAGTCGCCATGCTCCCTATCGCTAACTTGAATCTCAAAGACCTCTACCAATCAACCTTCGAATTCTTTGCCTCGCTTAATCCTTCCTTTTCTTTCAGTGCTTTCAGCGCTGAAGACTCTGTCTCTGACTCTGACTTATCTTTTCCGTTGACGCCGAGAGACCCGACGCCGAGAAATCTCTCTACAGACGAGGAGTCTGTTTCATTACGTGACAGGTTGGATGCTGCCGAACGCAACGACTCTCACAATCTGTCCACTTGTGATCCCTCTTTTGGCGCATCTGCTACAGCTTCTACTCTTGATTCAATGCGCCGCGAACACGATGCTACAAAAAACGAACTCTCCAGAACCCAAGCAGAAGTCGCTCGCTGGGAGGAGAAGTGTAAAACCCTCGAGAAGACCCTCAAAGAAACGAGAGACCTTTTGAAGGTCAAAGACCAGGAGATTCAGGTGCTCAAGGAGCGCGAAAGGCGCTCTCCCGAGTGTCATTGCCCTTCCACTCAAATCGACCGTCGACGAAGCCGTGATCCCGCACATCAGCGGTCAGACTCATCCCAGTCTCGGCAGATCCGACTGAGCGCTGACTGGTCAGAGATCCGTGACGATACCTTATCGCAGGCCAACGGCAATCATAGCCGCAACGGTGGCAACTTGGACAACATGTCTACCGTGTCCGAGGAAGAGCGAGCCCAGTCTCGCAGCTTAGAGACATTCCTGAATAAGATTGATTTGTGGTCTGGAGCACAGGTCATACAAGCCGTGCAAGATCTCAACTCTGAAATTCTCCAGTTCGCAGCATCTGCCACAGAGCTTTGCACGTTCTCAAAGCAGCGCCCTAACACAGCCAAGGTTACGCAAGCTTCATCTGAAGTTGCCACGAGGTTGGGTGCTGCCTTGAGTCGCTTATTGGCAACTCGGGATCACTCCCAGGATCCTATGCTTGTTCAGCTAGCTCTTCAGGGTTGCATCTCGTACTGCATATCTAGAGCACTATCGTCATTTTGCATCGGTTACCAGTCCAAGGCCAACATCATCCTGACCCAGATCTATACCCACATGTTCCACTCAGGTGGGTTTCCTAAAATGTTTTGTTGCCCGCAATTTACTCATATCGCCTCAGAACCTCAGCCAACCTCGTCACGGTGGAGAGCACTGACTCATAAACACATCCACGAGCTCCACCCCGAACTTAATGAATACGCAATCAATGAGATGACGGAAACGATTTTCCGCTGGTCGCTAGACATTTTCCTCATCTCTGGAAGCACCAATCCGCAGCCAAACCCGGCTTCCCGCGAGAATTTCCGCGCACGTTTCGGGGCCCAAGTCAAACGTATTTCGAAGGCCGCTTGCAGGCTAGCGCAAGTGACAAAGGAGGAGATCATGTCAGCGAACTTCGAGGTTATCGCTGCGGATAGCGGCCAGCCGTTTGACGGGCAGGAAATGATGGATGCGTTTGAAGACTATAGATCGTCGGATGGCGTTGTGCTGTGCACAACGGAACTAGGCCTACGGTGCTCGACGAGCAAACCTACGAGCGACGCGTCAGCATCAGAAGAAAGCATAGATCGGCGTATACTATTACGACCCAAGGTAGTTCTTGAATCTGTTGTAGAAGTTATTGACCCGCGATGATGTCTCTATTTTCTTGCTAACAATGTATGCTGCATCTATGTACTTTGCATAATTCCTCTCACCCATCCATACCACGCACCGCTGTTGTACTTTCTCTGTACTTATACTTACTTACTTCATGGACGTTACTAAGGTACTTCGTAGTAGATCACTTTGGATATTGTTTATCCGTATTTGATCCTAAAGGTGTTGGTGCAGACAACCATCCCGATCACCTTCCTATTCAGTATCATGACACCTCAAAAATTCCTTCAAATCTAATGCGGCCAGGGGGCGATCAGAGACGCCAGCATGGCATCAGCCTGCCCAAGTCTCTACTCGAGCAGATCAATGCCTCAGGTAAGCTCATTCAGAACTTGTTTCTGAGCCTGTCGCGACGATACATGCAGAACAGAGCTCTCATAGACACAAAAATGGTCATTCACATGCATCACGCAAGGATGCGCGAAAGCAAGAGCGAACAGATCGTAAAAAGAGAAAGGCAGATCACTTCATACATAACGCTCACTCAGCCAAACGGAAGATGGAAGAAGAACACGTCAATTCACCGCAGAGAAAACGTATGAAGACGTCACAAGAGTCAATTTCTCGACCACCTGGCTCAGAGTCTCATAGCACGGCCGCCACCAAGGCGCTACCGCGTCTTAGACCCGAGGAACCGCACACCACCGAGTTAGTGCAGAAGCAGAAACTCAAAACCACTGCGCTAGAGAGACTTGTAAATAAGTCGGCTGCTAAACCCCGTAAAGTTGCATCTACGGGCCCTCGAGGTCGCGAAGAAGAGGAAGAAGATGCATATATCGCGTATCTTGAATCAAAGCTGGGGTATACTGGAGGTGGTTCGCGTCGTAAGGATGATGATATGGATGGACTTGGAGGTGTGCTTCATTGCATCTTTTACTGGAGAATGCATCTCACAATACTTCTGCAGATCTATTTGACTTTACGGAAAACATTGTGACCGGGATGCCAGTAAGTTTACTTCACAGCTGCGCGTTGTGTTGTGTCTGAGTCCCCACAGGACTCCGATTTGGATGACGAAGTGGAGGATGAGGATCAATCAACATCTGCGGAAGACCAAAGTGACGGATCTTGGGAAGATGAGGAGTGGGGTGGCTTTGACGAGCTCAGTAAGAACGACGGGAGTGAGGCTGGGGGAAATGATGATGTGGTGGACGATGATGACCACGAGATGACAGAGACAAAAGAAAGCGAGCCCTCCGACGCTCAACCCAAAGCTGCTGGTCAGTTTTCCTACATGTATGATTTTTGGGTTGGATTCTATCTTGCTTCTCAGGACGCTATATCCCGCCGGGATTGAGGAAACAAGCCAATGGCGATACAAATGAAACGGAGGAACAACTCAAACTCAATCGCCAGCTGAAAGGTCTGATAAACAGGTAATATCTTATTGTATTATCATGGTCTATACTAATTTTATCTCGCCTTAGAATGTCTGAACAAAACATTGCAACCATGCTAGATAGTATTGAAGATGTGTATCGCAACCACCGCCGACATGGTTCGTGCTTATTTTATCTGCACTGAACGTGGCACATATTTTTCGCCTCAGATGTCACCTCAACCCTCACGAACCTCATCATTAATGGCATATCATCTCACTCAACCCTTCTCGACTCGTACGTGGTCCTTCACGCTGCGTTTATATCTAGCCTACATAAATTGATCGGCACTGCGTTTGGTACGTGTCTTTGAAATGACCTTCTATCACCTGAGCTGATGCACGTCATGCACTCAGCGGCGTATTTCGTTCAGAACGTGGTGTCCTCGTACGAACAACACCTCGCTTCGGTAGAGGAAAAGTCAGCCAATTCAACGGAAGTCCCTGAAGACCTAGGGAAAGAGTGTTCCAACCTCATCGTGCTTTTGTCAGAGTTGTACAATTTTCAAGTCATTTCGTGCATTCTCATTTATGATATCATCCGCGGCCTTTTGGATAAAGACCTATCTGAGTTCCGGGTAGAACTTCTGCTGAAACTTCTTCGAAGTAAGTTTGATAGTATCTATTCTCGTCGCATGATAACCGTTTGCTAGGTTCCGGCCAACAGCTACGACAAGATGATCCCATGGCATTAAAGGACATCATAACTTTAGCACAGTCTCGGGCCACCGGACAAGCCGATACTATGAGGTGCCACATTTCATAATCTTGATTACCGTCTTCTCACTGTGAAACACAGTTCACGCACGCGTTTCATGACCGAGACCTTAAATAACCTGAAGAACAATAAAATTAAGAAGACAGCTGCGACACAGCATCAGGGGGGCGATGCCGTCGAGCGGATGAAGAAGTTCCTCTCAGGGTTGGGAAAAAAGAAGCACGGTAGGTCGTTCCTCCGTTGGGTTGTTTAGTATGGCGCTGAGGTGGTCCATACAGTTCTCGCGCACGAGCCGTTACGCGTATCTTTGGAGGATCTCCATTCGGCGGAAAGCAAAGGAAAGTGGTGGCTCATTGGTGCTGCTTGGGGTGGAGATCCCCTGGCTGATCAGCCGCGCGAAGTTCCCCAGCATGGTGGGGAACCGGACACAGATGACGTTGGTACTGCCGCGCTTCTAAAGCTCGCGAAGGAAACAGGGCATGAATACAGATATTCGTCGAAGTATTTTTGTGGTGCTCATGAGCAGCGATGTAGGTATCGACGCACATCTCTGCTATCATATCTCATTTCTTGTTTGCAGGATTATCTAGACGCTTGCGAACGACTTGCGCAACTTGGCCTCACAGAAGTGCAACAACGCGAGATCATCAGAGTAAACCTGCATTGTTGTGGAAACGTACGTGATTCCATAGGATTTTGCATCGCTATCGTTGGCTGAACCAATTTCGCAGGAAAAATCATATAACCCATATTACACACTTGTCTGTCAGCATCTGTCTCAGCGTTCGCATTCGTATAAGATTACGTTGCAATTCTGTCTATGGGACTTTCTTCGGGACTTGGGCGAAAGTACCGTTGGTGGGGTAGAGGTAATCAAGAGTTTGAAAGATAACGATGTAGGATTTGACGTCAAATCCATGTCGCCTTCGCGAATGAAAAACGTCGCCAAAGCATACGCATGGTGGATAGCCAAAGATTGCTGTGCGCTGACGATCTTCAAGGTGAGCTTGAGTAGTTGACGCAAGGAGTTGCTGAAACGAGGATCTTACAGCCTGTGGACTTTACGATGCTCAAGTCACAGACACGCACTTTCTTGAAAGAGTTATTCATACAGCTGTTTATCGCTAGCCAGGTTTCATCACCGATGCTTAGCAACGACTCCGGTGACCATCCTTCCATGAGGAACCGTGGATCACTCGAAGAGATCTTCTTAAAGGCATCCAGGATCGAGAACCTGGGTCTTGGATTGGCATTCTTCATGTCTAACACGTTCAAAGGAGAGGATGGATTTTTGACTTGGGCTAGCTCAGTGGCAAAAGAGACGTTGCAGACTGGGATGGATCATATCCCAAGAATATAGCAACGCTTGATTACGCAGATTTCATAGATGCCACACTAGAACACGATGCTCCCGCCGAATCAAATAGTTGGGTGCTCTATACGAGATCTTCCGGGAGAGTATCAGCATGTGGTTTCGTTATGAAATGTGCGCCACATACTGGTACTGCAGGCCGGTTTTCTTCGGTAATGAACTTTGATTGTGGGTCGAATTCGGCAAAGTTACAAGCTGGGGTGATTAAAGGGCCCTTATTCAATTCCAAAGTGGCACGATGCGTACGCACATGTAATTGGAAAATGCCCGCATGGATTCAAGAGCTTCGCGATACGCATCGGATAACCTTCTGCCGGGATCCTTCCATTCTCATCCTTCTCCATCAGCGCGATGGCATCGTATGTGCCTTTATCAAGGATACGATCCCAAGCTCCATTCTGGTTAACTTTCTGAATCTGCGAGCAATGGTGGGTCCTGACTCCTCATGCAGGAAATCGCACACTCTAAACGTAATGGCCGTAAGATTTCGAGAGTGCGCCACCTCTTGAACGAGCTGAACGGCTCCCTCACTATCCCGGGAGTCGATGTGCTGGATAACACGCCCCTCCACAAGCGCGAATAATAGTGCACCGTTCCCGCTTCCAACTTTAAGGACTGACACATCAGGACGTGGAGGGGCGTGTTGATTAACCCACTTGACCATTTCATTCGTCGCCTTTTTGCCGAACCTAGGCGCCAGAAGTATGGATGCAATAGAAGTGACGTGGATACACACCCTCGTCACCGTTTTCACTGCTTCAAGTTCTCCAATTCTTCTTCGTAAACGTCATCCCAACTGATTATCGATGAGTTATGGGACCCACAAGTTTGCACAGAGGTTGAACACACCTACTGTTCTTTCGTACCGAGCTTTGAGGGCTCGAGCCCTGATGTGTCCATGCCATTTTTTGGAGTGATCTTGGAATTGAAGCAAGTCATCGACAACCTGAAAGGTGCTGCCTAGTAAGCCAGTCAGCTCCCTTGACACGCAGAACCGTTGCATGCAGGACAGGGTGACTGTCTCGAATCTTGATAAAAATGTGAAGGAACTCTAAGAAGCAAAATCGCACGGCAGGTAGTATAGCGGGCTAGGATCAAAGAAGCGAACGGTGATATTCATTATGATGGATATACCTGCTTAAGCTGTTGCATTCAAGATTGTTCCTGCCATTGACATCGACTCGAAGGCATTGAAGGATATCATGATGCCTTCATCGACCTATCATTTGTGTTATCTCCGCAGGCTGCCATGATGGCAACCGCGGCCGATGACGGAGATGCAGATTAGAATTATTAGACTCGCAGACGACCATTTTAACAAGTTGTTAACCGCGTTTTTGTTGGTGATAATACCAAGTTCGAGTTTGTTTATGCAGGTCGGACTCCTACCAAGCCCTCTGCTACTTTTTCCAGCCCAAACTGCCACGACATCAAACTCAACACATCCTCCGCAGTTCAAAGACATGTCTGTCCACCCAGATTGGTAGTAGGGGAGCTCCGAGTAGGCCGTTGTCCGCTGTCGCTTTAGCTTTCGTTGTTGAGCGTCAAGGGCTAGCAGATGTTATGTGAGCAAGGGAGATGCTGGAACAAGTGCACGATGTCAAGAGAGAGCCTACGATGTGAATGGAAAAAGAAAGTGCTGCAGCCTGCAGGATATGGGATGTGCATGCATGCGGGAGCCAATTAGGGGGGTGTGGGAGGAATGACTCGGAGAGGGAGCGCTAGCTGGAAGCAGCGAACTAGGGCCAAGTAGTGACCGAAGAAGGCAAGGGAAAGACGGAGGTTCCTGTAAAATTTATCCTTGGAGGTAAAAGTAAGCAAGTCAAGAACTTCTGCAGGAAGCTTAGCGAAGCTTCCAGCTGTCAACGTTTCAACTTCCTGCAGCGTGTATACATACACTGTGGGGTTGTAGTGTATGTAGCAACACACCCATGTAATTTTTACGAGAAAATGAGGAACGAGTAGGTATTAGTAATAGTCTGCAAACAAGTGACATCAGCGGCGCCACCCGCAGGGTCACAATAGCACATCTGCCCACCAAAATGCCTACTCCTCCCTTTGATTGACTGAAAATCGAAATTCTAAGTAAAGCGTTCTGATACTACAGTACATGCTTGCAACTCACAGAACAGTCTCGCTACTTGTACGTTGCTGCAGACTCAAGAGTTATGAGGCAAAGATGTTCTCAAGTCACGTGATGAACAGAGTTATGAATGAAGTTACAAGGACCTTTCGGCGTCGCCAAGTACGTCAGTGTCTCTTTCTTCCGCCTCCTTTTTAGATGATACCCAGTGCCCTGTACGACATGCTTGATCCTCGGTGTCTCATACCAGCATTGGGCAAAGCCTGTTCACAGTAAGTTACATACTAGTCAGCCTGTGCGTGGTTCCTCGTCCCCCTTTTCACTGCTGACTTGCTCTGTAAAACCCCGTTATCAGGAGACGCTCGTCCAGAAATAAATAGCTGTGACCTTAGATGATGGTTCCTAAATCCTCACTTTCGTCGCGTTGATATCCTGCGCTTTCTCTCTATATCTTTACCTCCATGACCAACACATTCTTTATTCTGCAACAGAACGTTTATAAGGCCAATCATGAGCCCATAACCGTTGAAGAAGTTGACGAGAACAATGTTTCTTCTCCAGCCTTGCAGCGTCTTATCGATTCAGCTCAAGGCGTCGCCGTTGGGGTGGCAGCCACGTACCGTCGCCCCCGACTGTACTCTCTCGTCTTTAGCATTTGCCACGCTCACCAGAGCGCTCGTCGTCCACTTCTTTGTTGCAAAGAAAACAGAATCTGCAGCACCGGAAGAAGAGGGGTCAGGCAAAACACCCTCCAGCTTTCCCCAGGACGCACCCTCATACAAGACCAAATATTGTGTAATCCTGACATCCGACTCTACGGGTACAGGATAGACAGGATTGCACTTGGTCTCTACCTGGACCTCTCACTTCGGATCAATGCCGCAGTTGACATCCTTGTCGGTATTTGCCAATAAGCCGGCGCTACCCTCGAGGCAACTATGGACGCCTTGGGCGGCGAGCCTCTTACTCCAGAAGCAGAACGTAAAAGTTCTCTTCACTCATAGAGAAGGGGCATGCAACAACCAATGATGTGGCGCTCCAGGCTTGGGCAGCATATCGCACTGTTGCATTTCCTTACATGGCGTCCAGATTTGCTCACATACCTCGAATCGCCACAGACACGATGCCAGATGTCGTATGTAATCCTTCGTCAGGTCGTAGACCCCTCCTTCTAATTCATCATGTAGCATCTGAGCGCCCTCGCCAAGATTTCTCGCGATGCTGAAATTTTGGAGTATTTGAAGCCAACGAAAGTCGTCAACACCGTTAAAGATGACTTGAGCATCTCCAAAGCCGGTAATCTCAATCTCGAGTGCACTCGCTTCAGAACGCGTATCATGCAAAACAGAGACAAGTATGTACATCTATGAGACATTATACAACCGACTCTGAATGTTCAGCACTTACAGGTCATCCACATCGAAACGCAGAACGCAGGTCGGAAGTCAACGATCACTGGTCGCGCACAGGACATAGATGGAAGACAGGCTCATATCAACGTCCAAGGCGCTGTGCATACTTCGGGCAAGGTCCTCCGTGTGACCACCATCGGGAAAGAAGACTTAACACCCAGCTGAAGCATACAGAGAATCTGTAGTGCTAAATGGCGCTTCAAGGCACCTTCACAGTTGACCCATCACCCATTCTTCTGCAGTATCTGGGCACCGTCATTAAAGATCTCATGGCCGCTTCTAACCAGGGGATGCTTCCAGCACACCATTCGTTTACTGATCCGAGCGGTACATTGAACCATTCGCAATATGAAGCAGTGGAGCGAATTCTTTCGCAAGCAGACAGAGATCGTGTATTGCTTATTCAGGGTCCTCCTGGCACTGGCAAAACAACAGTCATAGCAGCCAGTGTCGACAGTATCGTCAGGACTGGGCACAAGGATCGTACAGTTTGGCTCGTGGCACATTCGAACGTCGCTGTCAAGAATATCGCAGAAAAGCTTGACAAGGCTGGCTTCCGCGAATTCAAGCTTCTAGTATCCAAAGACTTCCATTATGACTGGTTTGTTGCACTTTCTTCACATCTCTGTTATACTGAATTTTCGTGTTGCAGGCATGAACACCTCTACGAGAGACTGGAACATTGTTTCATACGATCCGACATGTTAAAAGAAGATATGGATGCTGTTGACGTTGAGCTGCTTTTGCTCGACGCATACACAGCCACAAAAACAAGAGTTATACTTTGCACGTTGAGCATGCTGTCCAATCTTTGTATCAAAGGAATTGCACTTCAAGTCCCGGTTGAGACCGTGATATTCGACGAGGCAAGTCAAATCGAAGTAGGAGACTATTTGCCGCTGCTTCAGCGTTTCCAGCCCACCCTCCGAAAGATGGTAGTTCATCGGTGATGACAGGCAACGTAAGACTGGTAGTTGTTTCATCATTGGTCTGTACTGACTTGGATCTTAGTGGCGCCATTCGGTCAAGATGACGTCGGGAATCTACGAAGTGTTTTTGAGTTCCCGCACCTCCGAAAGCGGGCACACTTTTTGGATACCCAGTGTAAGCTCGTATCTCGACTTCGTCTCTTCGTCGTTTCAACTCCAGATCCAAGACCGTATGCCACTCGTCATCGGCAGCTTCATTTCCCGTCATGTATACAATCAGAAGTTGATGACCGTGCACGCCATCAACAGCAAGGCAGCATGTCGTTTTTTGGATGTCAAAAAGGGCAAGGAGGAGAAATTGGGAAAGAGTTGGGCAGTACGTTTCTCTTCCTAACCTCGTGATATACCAGCCTCACATCGTTTGCATCAGAATCCACAAGAGATATCCGTGGTTATCCACCTCGCCCGGATATACCATGGGCAGGGGAAGCAGTTCAGGATTATCACCCCGTATGATGGTCAGAGGTCTGCGATAGAAAAGCAGCTTGAATTAGCGAAGCTTCCATGGGAAGACAAATGCTTCAACGTGGACTCCTTTCAAGGCAAGCAGTTCCTCGACATAGTGGGAGAATCTGACTGACTGGTCACTGCAGGAAACGAGGAAGACCACATAATCGTCTCTCTAGTCCGTACCCAGGGCATAGGGTTCTTGACAGAACGCGCGCAGGACGAACGTCATGCTTGACACGATGCAAAATAAGTATGATCATTTGCACGAACCGTGATTTCGTAACGAACGGGTAAAGCAGCAAACACGCTGGTCGGGCAGCTTGTTGTTGCCATGGGCTCTGATGCCTGGTTGGATGCTCGTGATGTAATCAATGGCATCTTAAGGTGATTTGGACTATCTACATCGCAGCTTCTTGGTTGGGTTTTGAAACTTTTTTGTCGACATTGCACTGTATTTTGTATTATATGGCAATTGGTATGTGTACATGCTGCAAGTCAGCGTCCACGTAGTACAGACACTCGTGATGTTGAACCACAGTGTATATGGGAACTTGTACTTGGTGTGCGCGTCGATGTCATAAAATACACAGGACAAACCTCCAGGAGGCCACCACCTCGGTGTCAAGGTCAGACACTGAGTACTAACCACCCGAAATTTGAATCTATCACTGCTCCACAGCAGTATACTCTGACGAGTCACGGTCGTGTACTACGAAACGTCGCCGGTGGGTAGTGCACTACTGCATAGAACTCCAACCATTGATTCAGACACCAACGTTTAGAATGTGGACAAAGCCAGCCGAAAGTTTGAATACTAGTAACTACTGGTAGCTTCCACTGATATGGGCACTGATGAGCACTAGATTTGGACGTAACATCATGATGAGCCGAGAGAGCTGGGCATTATTGTATGTTTTTCACGTTGCCACATCAGGTAGCATCATCCGCTAAGCTCATACAGAATTCGGTTTTGAGCCTGTTGTGATGATGTATGATAAGATCCCAAACTCCATTCTGGTTAGCTTTCTGATCATCATCTGCGAGCAACTGTGGGTCCTCATGCAGGAAATCGCACACTCTTAGCGTGACGGCCGTAAGATTCCGAGCGTGCGCCCCCGATTGAGCGAGCTGAACAGCTCCTTCGCTACAATCAACCCCTAGGTGTGAATGTGCTGGGTATCACGCTTCTCTACGTCCCTCCGCAAGCGCGAATAACGGTGCACCGTTCCCACTTCCAACTTCTGTCAGGGCGTGGAGGGGCGTGTTGATTAACTTACTTGACCACCTCATTCATCGCCCTTTTGCCGAGCCTAGGCGCCAGAAGTATGAATGCAATGAAAGTGACGTGAATACGCACCATATTTCACCTTCGTCATCGTTTCCAATGAAGTTCTCCAATTCTTCTTCATAAACGTTATTAACTACCGATGAGTGATGGCACACACAAGTTTGCACAGAAGCTGAACACGCCTACTGTTCTTTCGTGCCCAGTTTTGAGGGCTCGAGCTCTAGTGTGTGCATGACGTTTTTGGGAGTGATTTTAGAATTGAAGCAAGTCGTTGACTACTGTCACATAATGATAGGTGCTGCTTAGTAGGCCAGGTCAGCACCCTTGACTGTCACATGCACAACCGTTGCATGCAGGACAGGGTGACCAGTCTCGAATTTTGATAGATATGTGAATGAACTCTAAGAAGTAGAATCGCATGACCAGTAGTATAGCGGGCCAGGACCAAAGGAGCGAGTGATTATATTCATTATATGGATACCTGCCCAAGCTGTTGCCCTCGAGATTCATCCTGACATTGACATCAACTCGAAGGCATTGAAGGATATGGTCTCTACTAACCCAGTCTCTGCAGTCTCCATTGACCTATCAATTGTGTTGTCTCCGCAGGCTGCCATGATGGTGACCGATGACGGAGATGCAAATTGGAATTATTAGACTCCCCCCAAGCCCTCTGCTTCTTTTCCAGCCCAAACTGCCACGACATCAAACTCAACACATCCTTCGCAGTTCAAAGACATGTCTGTCCACTCAGATTGGTAGTAGGGGAGCTCAGAATAGGTCGCTGTTCGCTTTTGCTTTTGCTGTTGCCGTACGTGAGCGTCAAGGGTTAGCAAATCACATCCCCGGGAAGATGCTGAAACAGGTGCACGATCACGATGTTAAGAGAGATACAATTTGAAGGGAAAGGAGAAAGTGCTGCAGCCTGCAAGATGTGGGATGTGGATGCATGCAGGAGTCAGGGGAGCGTGCAGAAGGAATATTAATGAGAGGGAGCGTAGTAGGAAGCTCAGCGAACTAGGGCAGGAAGGCAAGGGAAACCTATAATTATCCTCAGAAGTAAAAATAACCAAGTCAAGAACTGAGTCAGCAAGCTTCAGCAGCGTGCAGCTGATTAAACTAAAAGTCGAGACTCTGTTATTTTACCTATAGAAAGTCATCATATGGCTAGCTAAGTGCAAATTCTGTACATCGAATACAAATACAAATCACAGAATCGATGCCCGCTGTTTGGGGTGGTCTTCGTGGCTTCCTCACGGTTTACTAGCACCCTCAGACCTTTAGTTTTGGGTTGATGTGCTGATTTCTCTCGTAGTATACGTTACCTGTACTCCACTCTATCCTATAGTAGTCTGTCCGCACCCAAAACACGCCTGCGAAGCGCGACTTCCGAAGTTCGCATACAGGTTCTCTTCCAGAGCATGAGACTGTGATCTAGATACAAACGTATACAACAAAAGCAGATATTCCAACTCCGGCCTACGTGACTTGGTGGTGATCGATCATCAATGATCACCGTCTAAACCCTCTACGAGTCAGGGACTGATACCCGCGTTTTCTTGAAATTGAATTGACTTATCATGCACTAGGTCTTCAATTGCTTACGCGCAAATTCAGCCCAATATTGCAAGTTGGATACAAAATGACAGCAGAAAGCGTTTAAATGGTGTTGGATTTCAAGCAAAACTAGTTGCTCTATACTTCTGGACACACAAAAGTATCAATTTGCAATTGTGCTTTGTTCTTCACAGTTCACGCACAGCCTATGCCTGGTTCCTCGTCCCCCCTTTCACTGCTAACTTGGTGTAAAACCCCGTTTTCGTTCATTGACAGTAGACGCTCATCCAGCAATAAATAGCTGTGACCTTGGATGACGGTTCCTACATCCTCACTTTCGTCGTACACTTTCTCTCTCTATCCTTTACATTCATGACCCATACATCCGTCACTCTGCAACAGAACGTTTATAAGGCCAAATATGAGCCTATAACCGTTGAAGACGTCGACGAGAACAACGTCTCTTCTCCAGCCTTGCAGTGTCTTATCGACTCAGCACAAGACGCTGCCGTTGGGGTGGCAGCCACGTATCACTCGAACTGTTCTCTTTCCTCTTTAGCATTTGCAACGCTCACCAGAGCGCTCGTCGTCCACTTTTCAAAGAAACAGAATCCGCAGCAGAAGAAGAAGAAGGGCCAGGAACAACAGCCTCCGGTTTCCCAAGGACGCATCTTCATGCAAGACCAAATTCTCTGTAACATCGGCATTAAACTTTATGGGTTCAGGATAGACAGAATCGCACTTGCTCTCTTTTTAGACCTCTCGCTTCGTATCAATGGCGCAGTTGACGTCCTGTCGGTGTCTACCAATAATCGGCGCTCACTCCAGGCAATTACGGACGCCTTAGGTGGCGAGGGCTTACTCAATAAGGACAACGTGAAAACCCTGTTCGCTCATAGAAAAGGGGACGCAGCATCCAAGGATGTGGCGCTCCAGGCTTGGGCAGCATGTCGCGCTGCCACATCTGATAACATGAGGCTTAGATTTGCTGCTATATCTCGAATCGACACAGACACGATGCCAGATATAGTAGGTAATCTTGGTCACGTCATGGACCCCTCCTTCTAATTCATAATGTAGCATCTGAGCGCCCTCGCCAAGGTTTCTCGTGATGCTGAAATTTTAGAGTCTTTGAAGCCAACGAAAGTCGTCAACAATGTCAAAGCAGACTCCTTCAAGAAGGGCAGTGTCAATCTCGAGTGCACTCGCTTCAGTACGCGTATCATGCAGTCTAAATCCCAAGTATGTATATTCATCAGACGTCATGCCACCAACCTTAAACGTTTGCACTGACAGGTCATCAAAATCGAAATGCTGGACGGGAAAAAGCGGTCAACGGTCACTGGTCGCGCAGGGCGAATAGATGGAAAACAGGTTCATATTGACATCCAAGGCGGAAAAAAGGCTTCGGGCAAGATCCTCTCCGTGACCACCATCGGGAAAGAAGACTTGACGGCTGCTGAATCAGCCAGAGAAGATGTAGTGCTAAAGGCGCTTCAGAGCACCATCACGTTGACCGAACATCCATTCTTCTGTAGTATCTGGGCGCCGTCATTAAACATCACATGGCCGCCTCTGAATGCTCCCACCGCGTCGCACGTCTATTATCCTAACGGTCAATTAAACCCCTCGCAGCATGAGGCAGTGGAGCGAATTATTTCGCAAGCGGACAGGGACCGTGTATTGCTTATTCAAGGTCCTCCTGGCACTGGCAAAACGACAGTCATAGCGGCCAGTGTCAACAGTATGATCAACACTGGCCCTATGGAGCGTACGGTTTGGCTTGTAGCACACTCCAACGTTGCCGTCAAGAATATCGCAGAAAAGCTTGACAAGGTTGGCTTCCGTGAGTTTAAGCTTCTTGTATCCAAAGATTTCCATTACGACTGGTATGTCGCGCCTTCCTCGCCTCCCCGTCATACTGAATTTTTGTGTCTCAGGCATAAACATCTCTATGAGAGACTGGAACATTGTTTTATACGATCCGACGTGTTTGGTGGCAGGGCTTTTAACGCTAGCCAGCATTTGCTCGACAAACACACAAACAAACCTACAAGAGTTATACTTTGCACGTCGAGTATGCTGTCCAATCCTCGTATCGAAGATTTTACTCGTCAGGTCCCGGTTCAAACCGTGATATTCGACGAGGCAAGTCAAATCGAAGTGGGAGAATACCTGCCGCTGCTTCAGCGTTTCCAGCACAGCCTCAAAAAAATGGTGTTCATCGGTGACGACAAGCAACGTGAGACCCGAGTAGTTATTTCATCGCTGACCTGTACTGATTTGGATATCAGTGGCGCCATTCGGCCAAGATGACATTGGGCAGATACAAAGTATTTTTGAGTTCCCGCACCTTCGAGAGCGGGCACACTTCTTGGATACCCAGTGTAAGCCCGTATCTTAACTTCATCCTCCTTGTTATTTCAACTTTATTATCCAGACCGCATGCCACTTGTTATTGGCAGCTTCATTTCCCGTCATGTATACGATCACAAGTTGAAGACCGTGCACGACATCAACAACAAGGCAGCATGTCGTTTCTTGGATGTCAAAAAGGGCAAGGAGGAGAAATCGGGAAAGAGCTGGGCAGTACGTGTCTCCTCCCGACCTTCGTGATATACCAGCCTCACGACGTTTGCATTAGAACCAACAAGAGACGTCCATGGTTATCCACCTCGCCCGTATATACCACAAGCAGGGCAAGCAGTTCAGGATCATCACCCCGTATGATGGTCAGAGGTCTGCCATGGAAAAGCAGCTTCAATCAGCGAAGCTTCCATGGGAAGACAAGTGCTTCAACGTAGACTCCTTCCAAGGCAAGTAGTTCCTTCACGTACTGGGGGGATCTAACTGACGGTCACCGCAGGAAACGAGGAAGACCACATAATCGTCTCTCTGGTCCGTACCGAGGGCGTAGGGTTCTTGACGAATATGCGCAGGATGAACGTCATGCTGACACGATGCAAAATGAGCATGATCATTTGCACAAACCGTGATTTCGTGACGAAGGGTAAAGCAGCAAACACGCTGGTCGGGCAGCTTGCTCTTACTATGGACCCTGATGCCTGGTTGGAAAGTCGTGATATAGTCAACGGCATCTTAAAGTAATTTGGACTCGGCTACATCGCATTTCTTGGTTGGGTTTTGAAAATTTCTTGTCGCATATTGCACTGCGTTTTGTATTATATGGCAATCGGTGTGTGTACATGCTGCAAGTCAGCGTCTACGTAGTACAGAGACTCGTTATGTGAATCACATGCATATGGGAACTTGTACTTGGTGTGCGCGTCGATGTCATAAAATACACAGGATGTACACACAAACCTCCAGGCCTGCCGCCACCTCGGTGTCAAGGTCGGATACCGAGTACTGAGTTCTGACCGCCCGAAATCCACTGCTCCGCAGCAATATACACTGACAACGAGTCATGTACTACGAAACGTCGGTGGGTAGTGTACTACTGCATCATGATGCAGTAGGCTATGGCAGCTAAATAACCTGAAGAACAATAAAATCAAGAAGACAGCTGCGACACAGCATCGGAGGGGCGATGCCGTCGAGCGGAAGAAGTTCCTTTCCGAGTCAGGGTTGGAAAAAAAAGAAGGACGGTAGGTCATTCCTCCGTTGGGTTATTTAGGATGGCGTAGAATCCAGAGGTGGCTGTAGTTTTCGCAGTTTTCGCGCACGAGCCCGTTACGCGTATCTTTGGAGGATCTCCATTCGGCCGAAAGCAAAGGAAATAGACTCATGACCAGCCCGTCTACAAAGGAAAGTGATGGGGCTTCCCAGCCGCGCGAAGTTTCCCAACTTGGTGGGGAACCGGAGACAGATGACGTTAGCACTGCCGCGCTTCTAAAGCTCGCGAGGAAGCGGGGTATAGGGCCATCCTAGGCCACTAGATACAGATATTCGTCGAAATGTTTTTGTGGTGGTGCTCATGTGAGCAGCGATGTAGGCACCGACGTCACATCTCTGCTATCATATCTCATTTCTTGTTTGCAGGATTATCTAGACGCATGCGAACGACTTGCGGAACTCGGCCTCACGGAAGTACAACAAAGATCACCTGCATTGTTGTGGAAACGTACGTGATTCCATAGGATTTTGGCATCACCATCGTTGGCTGAACCAATTTCGCAGGAAAAATCTTATAACCCGTATTACGCACTTTTCCTGTCTCAGCGTTTGCATTCGTACAAGATTACGTTGCAATTCTGTCTATGGGACTTTCTTCGGGACTTGGGCAAAGTAGCGTTGGTAGGATAGAGGTAATCAAGAGCCTGAAAGATAACGATGTAAGATTTGATGTTAAATCCATGTCGCCTTCGCGAATGAAGAACGTCGTCAAAGCATACGCATGGTGGATAGCCAAAGATTGCTGTACGCTGACAATCTTCAAGGTGAGCCTGTGCAGCTGACGCAAGGAGTTACTGAAACGAGAATCTTCCAGCCTGTGGGCTTCACAATGCTCAAGCCACAGACTTGCCAGAAACGCACTTTCTTGAAAGAGTTATTCATACAGCTGTTTATCGCTAGCCAGGTTTCATCACCGATGCTTAGCAACGACTCCGGCGACTATCCTTCCATGAGGAACCGTGGATCACTCGAAGAGATCTTCTTTTGACTTGGGCTAGCTCAGTGGCAAAAGAGACGTTACAGACTGGGATGGATCATATCCCCAGAATATAGCAATACTTGATTACGCAGATTTCGTAAATGCCACACTAGAACATGCACTCCCGATGCTCCCGCCGAATGAAATAGTTGGGTGCTCTATACGAGAACTTTTGGGAAGAGCATCAGCATGTGGTTTCATTATGAAATGTGCGCCACATACTGGTACTGCAGGCCGGTTTCTTCGGTAATGAACTTTGATTGTAACTCGAATTCGGTAAAGTTACAAGCTGGGGCGATTAAAGGGCCTTTATTCAGTTTCAAAGCCAAGTGGCACGATGCGTACGCACATGTAATTAGAAAATGCCCGCCTGGATTCAAGAGCTTCGCGATACGCATCGGATAACCTTCTGCTGGGATCCTTCCATTCTCATCCTTCTCCATCAGCGCGATGGCATCGTATGTGCCCTTATCAAGGATAAGATCCCAAGCTCCATTCTGGTTAGCTTTCTGATTATATGCGAGCAACGGTGGGTCCTCATGCAGGAAATCGCACACTCTAAACGTAATGGCCGTAAGATTCCGAGAGTGCGCTACCGATTGAGCGAGCTGAACAGCTCCTTCACTATAATCAATTCCTAGGAGTCGATGTGCTGGATAACACGCCTCTCCACGTCCCTCCGCTAGCGCGAATAATAGTGCACCGTTCCCGCTTCCAATTTCAAGGACTGACATATCGGGGCGTGCAGGGGCGTGTTGATTGGCCCACTTGACCATTTCATTCATCGCCTTTTTGCCGAACCTAGGCGCCAGAAGTATGGATGCAATGTAAGTGGTGTTAATGCGTACCATATTTCACCCTCGTCACCGTTTTCACCGAAGTTCTCCAATTCTTCTTCGTAAATGTTATCCCAACTGATTATCGATGAGTGACTGGACCCGCATATTTGCACAGAAGTTGAACACGCCTACTGTTCTTTTGTACCGAGCTTTGAGGGCTCGAGCTCTGATGTGTCCATGACGTTTTTGGTAGTGGTTTTGGAATTGAAGCAAGTCGTTGACAACTGTCACAGAATGAGGCGTTGCTTAGTAAGCCGGTCAGCTCGACATGCAGTTGCATGCAGGACAGTGTGGCTATCTCGATTTTTGATAAATATATCAAAGAAGTCTAAGAAGTAGAAACGGACGGCAGGTAGTATAGCGAGCCAAGACCAAAGGAGTGAGTGATGACATTCATTATGATGGATATATAAATGGGATAGAAATACAGAGTAGACTTGAAATATCTGAGTAATTCTCCCGGTTCAAGAGATTGGAAACGACTTACTGGTACTATGAGTAACCAACGTATGAGAATTAAAAGTTATCTCGACTTTCCATCCGTCTTGTCTAACAGGTCTTTAGCTTCGTTGATTTTACTCGCTACGTACGGCGAACCCCCACGGTCAGGGTGGTTTGCGAGCATAATGTGACGGTGGGCGTCTTTCAACTTGTTGCGTAGTGTTACGCCGTCTCTGCAAAAAGTACTGCCGTCAGATACTAGGTGATAGAGCGTGCTGAAAGTGCAAACTTTAGCCCAAGGATTGCAATAGCCTCCTTGCGATCCATTTTCGCTTTAAAACCACCCTTCACCCACTGGTCTGCTGCCCGCTTTCCAATTATACCATTGCGCACAAGATGTCGACCAACGAGAGCAGCTGTGATAGCTCCGACACCGACAATTACAGGAGTTGCCATGAGAGGAAAAGAAGAAAACAGGCGTGGCTGTGTTGAATTTACACGATTACCCGTGTTTTCTTGAATTGAATTGGCTTATCACACCGCCTTCAATTGCTTACAGTTACACGCATATACAGCTCAAAGTTGTTTACGTCTACAAGTTGGATACAAGAAGACGCTGAAAGGCGTTTGAAAGACTTGGAATTCCAAGCACAACTAGTTATTCTGAAGTCTGGGATACTGGACACACAAAAGTACTCATTTGTGCTTTGTTCTTGGAAGTTCAAGCACAGCCTATATGCGCGGTTCCCCGTCCCCCTTTCACTGCTGACTTGCTGTAAAGCGGCGTTACCATTCATTGACAGTAGACGCTCATCCAGCAATAAATAGCTGTGGCATTGGAACACGTTCCTACATCCTCACTTTCAGCGCGTTGACATCGTGCGCTTGTTCTCTCTGTCTTTTACATCCATGACCCACACATTCTTCACTCTGCAACAGGACGTTTATAATGCCGATCATGAACCCATAATCGTTGAAGACGTTGACGAGAACAATGTTTCTTCTCCAGCCTTGCAGCGTCTTATCGACTCAGCTCAAAGCGCCGCCGTTGGGGTGGCAGCCACGTATCGCCCCGACTGTACTCTCTCGTCTTTGGCATTTGCCACGCTCACCAGAGCGCTCGTCGTCCACTTCTTTGCTACAAAGAAACAGAATCTGCAGTACCAGCAGAAGAAGAAGAAGAAGAAGGGCCAGGAACAACACCCTCCGGTTTCCCGAGGACGCACCCTCATACAAGACCAACTGCTGTGTGACCCTGACGTCCAATTCTATGGGTACAGGATGGACAGGATTGCACTTGGTCTCTACCTGGACCTCTCACTTCGGATCAATGCCGCAGTTGACATTTTGTCGATATCTGGCAAAAAAGCCCGGCGCTCCCTCGAGGCAACTATGAACGCCTTGGGCGGCGAGCTCTTACTCCAGAAGCAGAACGTGAAAATTCTCTTTGCTCATAGAGAAGGGAATGCAACAACAAATGATGTGGCGCTCCAGGCTTGGGCAGCATGTCGCACTGCTGCATTTCCTCATATGGCGCCTAGATTTGATATCCTACCTCGACTCGCCACAGACACGATACCCGATGCTGTATGTTATCTTCGTCATCGCCCTACCCTCCCCATCTGATCTATAATACTTGCAGCACCTGAGTGACCTGGCAAAGATTTCTCGTGACGCTGAAGTTTTGGAGTCTTTGAAACCAACGAAAGTCGTCAACAACGTCACAGATGGCTTAAGCATCACCAAAGCCGGTAATCTCCACCTCGAGTGCACTCGCTTCAGAACGCGTATCATGAAAAACAGAGATCAAGTATGTACATTTACGAGACATTATACAACCGACTCTGAATGTTCGCACTTACAGGTCATCCACATCGAAACGCAGAATGCAGGTCGGGTGTCAACGATCACTGGTCGCGCACAGCAAATAGATGGAAGACAGGCTTTTATCAACGTCAATGGCGTACAGGCTTCGGGAAAGGTCCTCCGTGTGACCACTATTGGGAAAGAAGATTTGACAGCCGCTGAATCAGCCAGAGAATCTGTAGTGCTAAAGGCGCTTCAAAGCACCATCGCGTTGACCCATTGTCCGTTCTTCTGTAGTATCTGGGCACCGTCATCAAAGATCTCATGGCCGCCTGTAACCGAGGGTGCTTCCAGCACTTCATTCGTTTATGATCCGAGCGGTACATTGAACCATTCGCAATATGAAGCAGTGGAGCGAATTCTTTCGCAAGCAGACAGTGATCGTGTATTGCTTATTCAGGGTCCTCCTGGCACTGGAAAAACAACAGTCATAGCAGCCAGTGTCGACAGTATCGTCAGGACTGGGCACAAGGATCGCACAGTTTGGCTCGTGGCACAGTCGAACGTCGCTGTCAAGAATATCGCAGAAAAGCTTGACAAGGCTGGCTTCCGCGAATTCAAGCTTCTAGTATCCAAAGACTTCCATTATGACTGGTTTGTTGCACTTTCTTCACATCTCTGTTATACTGAATTTTCGTGTTGCAGGCACGAACACCTGTACGAGAGACTGGAACATTGTTTTATACGATCCGACCAGTTAATAAATATTGGGGCTGTTGCCGTTGAGCGGCTTTTGATCGACGCACCCACAAAAACAAAAACAAGAGTCATACTTTGCACAACGAGTATGCTGTCCAATCCTCATATCAGTGAAATTGCACTTCAAGTCCCGGTTGAGACCGTGATATTCGACGAGGCGAGTCAAATCGAAGTGGGAGACTATCTGCCGCTGCTTCAGCGTTTCCAGCCCACCCTCCGAAAGATGGTGTTCATCGGTGATGACAGACAACGTAAGACTGGTAGTTGTTTCATCATTGGTCTGTACTGACTTGGATCTTAGTGGCGCCATTTGGTCAAGATGACGTCGGGAATCTACGAAGTGTTTTTGAGTTCCCGCACCTTCGAAGGCGGGCACACTTTCTAGATACCCAGTGTAAGCTCGTATCTCGGCTTCATCTCTTCGTTGTTTCAACTCCGTGATCCCAGATCGTATGCCACTCGTTATTGGCCGCTTCATTTCCCGTCATGTATACGATCACAAGTTGATGACCGTGCACGACAACAACAACAAGGCAGCATGTCGTTTCTTGGATGTCAAAAGGGGCCAGGAGCAGAAAGCGGGAAAGAGTTGGGTAGTACGTTTCTCCTCCTAACCCTCGTGATATGCCAGCCTCATATCGTCTGCATTAGAATCCACAAGAGATATCCGTGGTTATCCACCTCGCCCGTATATATCACGGGCAGGGGAAGCAGTTCAGGATTATCACCCCGTATGATGGTCAGAGGTCTACGATAGAAAAGCAGCTTGAATTAGCGAAGCTTCCATGGGAAGACAAGTGCTTCAACGTGGACTCCTTCCAAGGCAAGCAGTTCTTTGATATAGTGGGATAATCTGACTGACGGTCACTGCAGGAAACGAGGAAGACCACATAATCGTCTCTCTAGTCCGTACCCAAGGCGTAGGGTTCTTGAAGAACGCGCGCAGGACGAACGTCATGTTGACACGATGCAAAATAAGTATGATCATTTGCACGAACCGTAATTTCGTGACGAAGGGGAAAGCAGCAAATACGCTGGTTGGGCAGCTTGCTGTTGCCATGGGCCCTGATGCCTGGTTGGATGCTCGTGATATAATCAATGGCATCTTAAGGTGATTTAGACTAATTACATCGCACTTTCTTTCTTGTCGTACATTGCACTACATTCTGTATTATATGGCAATTGGTGTATGTAGATGCTGTAAGTTAGGGTCTACGTGGTAGAGAATCATTATATTGAACCGCATGCATATGGGAACTTCAAGTTGTACTTGGTGTGCGTGTGAATGTCATACTAAGCACACAGGACAGTCGAACCTCCAGGAGGCCACCTCGGTGTCAAGGCCGGACACTGAATACTGACCGCCCGAAATCTGTCACTGCTCCACAGCAATATACGCTGACGGCGAGAGTCACGTAGTATCATGATTAGGTGGTGTATTACCGCATAAGCCCTCCATGGTAGAACCCCACTCACCAACGCTTAGAAGGTGGACTCGGATAGAGCTAGCCGATGATTTAAACAACTAGCGTTGTCACTAATATGGGCGCCATTGACGAGGGTTAGACCTGGGCATAACATCATGATGTCAAGGGAGTTGGGCGTTATCGTATGTTTTTCGTGTTGCATGGTGATGTCAGTCACAATAACAGGTAGAGCGCATGCAGTCAATAAACTACCACAAAGCACAAAGGAATTAACATGCTATAACGGACGAGCAGTATCATACCGTCACTCGATACAAACACGGCTATCTTCCTTCCGTTCGCCTTTGTTGGGGCACAATCAGCATTCTGATCGATGTCGGCCCTAAATAGCGCGCCTAGCAGTGTGAATTTGGACTTGGCGAGTCGTGGTCAGCCGCAATACTTAATCAACCAAGTCTGTGAGAAGAATCACAGATGCATTTAGATTCTCCCATGGAGTTCTGGAGCCAGAAAAAGAGCTTGACCGGGCAAGAGTCTGGACGACACTTGGGACAAAGCGGCAAAGACTGTGGAGAGATTGTGATACCTATAGACAATGGAAGGCCGCTCAAAGAGCTGGGAACCACGAAGGCCGCTTGGAAACTCCGGCTTGAGTCAGGACTCAGCAAGCGCCCGCCTACTAGTCATGAGGTTTCGGACCCGGAGCCTCATTGCAGACCTTGAAATAGAGTCGCACTCCATCGTTACACATTGCCACTTACCACCATCATCATATCCAAAGCCATCATGTCCACAGCAACAAGACTGCTCTATCAGAACGTTATGGGTGTCGACAGTGGAACGCTGTCGGTCCACATTATATCTGAATTAGGCTTAAACGAAGAGCAAAATCAGTTACGTAGTCTGTTAGAAAGGAACGAGGGACGTGCCCTTGGCCTTGCTGGCGGATTTGCGCCCACTGGAGAGCTCGTGATGCTTGCAATCGCCGACACGTCCACCATTGTCATCGTTGAATTCGAGTTAAAGAAGAGCAAGGGCAACGAACACGATGAACGCCCTGTCACACCCACCAGTAAGGCAGACACTGCCGCTCGGGTATTTTTGACACAGAACCTCCTCCGTCGCACCACCGGATTCTTATACGCATTCGACATTGCACCAATCGCTCTAGCTTTATCTCAAACATTTGATCTTCGAATCGCAAATGCGATCAATGTGCAGAGCGCAGGATCGAAAACACGTGCCCCACTTGCCACCGTTAAACAGGCCATTGGTGATCTTCATCGTGTATATGATGAAAACATCAACAACATATTCCGTGATGATACCATCATCGATCATCTCCTCGCTACCAAGAATGGCACTAGTTCACTTGCACAACGTGCATGGATCGCACATTATATTTCGCAACTCCCAACCATGGACGATCGTCTTGCGCAAGTGCCCCCAGTGGACACCTTCCGACTCTCGGATGAGGTAGTTCACTGCTTTCTTGGCGAATGATGGCGCTGATCATGATCACAGGCACTAGAATTTCTTGCGAAGAGCTCGAAGGATTCGTTCCAGCTCGAGCAGAAGAAACCGACCGAGGTCACGCGCCAGTTTGCCACTTCTATCGACCATAAGCACAACCACATCAATGCACAAGCTGACAGATACCAAAACAAAATTCGTAAGGGCCAGCATCAGGCATGTCGTTCGCGTATCCATGCCGTGCCTTACTTGACAACTAATTTTCTCAGCGTGCATTCATTGATATTGGCGGCCGCGGCGGGCGGGGCTTCACCGTTGACGGTCAGGTTGCCAAGTCTAAGGGTCGCACCGCGAAACTCGCTACCACCAACAGTCTCAGTTTCGTTGGCAAGATAATCGGCTCGATCAAGATTGTCGGCCGTGATGACCCTACGCAGGCTGAGATCCAGCGTGCCCAGAAGGTTCTAGAGATCCTTCAAGGTCTCATCAACCTCGAGCACGACAACCCATGGGTTCAGCTAATATTCTTTTCGTCTCCCAGGGATGACTTCCAATGGCCCTCCGCCTGGACGGAGGAGGCGAACGATGCGGATATTGTCAAATTCCGTGCCGACCGTGTCAGTCGCCCCCTCAATCCATCCCAGACGAAAGCTGTGAAGCAGATGCTCCAGCAGTCGAATGATGGGCGTCTTACTGTCATCCAGGGGCCCCCTGGAACCGGTAAGACCACTGTCATCGCCTCATTTGTTCAGACTGCCCTTGACGGTGGACTCTCTGGCATTTGGCTCATTGCCCAATCCAATGTTGCCGTCAAGAACATTGCCGAGAAACTCGCTGACTTTGGCCTGACCAAGTGGAAGCTTCTCGTCTCGAAGGAATTTTTCGAATACTGGTCAGTCCTTTTACTGGTGGTCTTTCCCCTTTAGGCAGACTGACATAATCTAGGCACGAGCACCTCTATGCTAACATTCGGGCCAATATCATCATATCCGAGGACTTCTCCGCGCCAGGTTTTTTTAAGGAACTCCAGTCCACCCCGGTCATTCTATGTACCTTGTCTATGCTCTCATCTTTCGCTCTTCAAAGGTGTGGAGGCTTTAAAGCCGCGCCACTCAGGACCCTCGTCATTGACGAAGCGTCCCAAATCGAGATTGGTGACTACATTCCACTCCTCACCTCTCACACCTCCATTAGAAAGGTGTGCTTCATTGGTGATGACAAACAGTGTAAGTATCTATCCTGCATGTCATCGCGTGTTCTGACATCTTCAGTGCCACCCTATGGTCAGGATGATATTCAGGACCTGAAGAGCATCTTCGAGGTCAAGCATCTCAAGGACCATGCCATTTTTTTAAATACCCAATGTAAGTCCTTCCCCTGATGTTCTCCTACCCCGAAATTTATCATTTGATTGTAGACAGGATGCCCCCTCAAATTGGAGGGTTCATCTCTGAAGCTGTGTATGGTGGCCTACTCGAGTCGAATCCGCTACACCCCGTCACGAACGAGAGAATGGCTTGTCATTTTGTCAACATTCCCAGCCAGGAACAGCTACATGGAACTAGCTGGAAGGTAAATCACTTGAATTCAGTCACTTGCAGTTGATCAATGTCGTGCGCAGAACGTTGGAGAGTGCCAAACCATTCTCTGCATCGCTAACATGTTACAAGCGAGTAATAAGCAATTCCGCATCATCACCCCGTATGACGCTCAGCGGAGTTTGATTGAGGAGGGTTTAAAGCTGCAGGAGCTCGATTGGGAGGACAAATGTTTCAACGTTGACTCGTTTCAAGGTTCGTTCTCGCAACATATATTTGTAGCATCATGTTTATGAATTCTTTGTGGTAGGCAATGAGGAAGATTACATTGTGATCTCACTCGTGCGGTCCACGGCGCTCGGATTCCTCGCCGATTTGCGCCGGACTAATGTCATGCTTAGTCGGTGCAAGAAAGGCATGATCATCTGCACGAGCCAGAAATTCATGAAGCGGGCAGGGTGTGACTCACTCGTAGGCAGCCTGTTAGAGTATTACGAGCACGAGTGGATTGAGAAGGACGAGTTGGAGAGGATTGTGGTGTAGGTGGGCTCGTGAAGGTGCTATTCGAATGGTCGTTATCGGACTTGAACAGGGCTTTGAGTGCTTTCGTGATGATCGTTAGTTGTACGATACTTTACTGTTGGTTTGTACGATAGCTCGCGCGTTTGGTTGTACCTGGATGAAGGCATATTTTTTTTATTTTTCTTGAGTTGAGGACGAGTTTTCTCGTTTCAATTGTCTGAGTGGTGTATTGTGTAGTATACGATAAGTAGGTATAGTTTAGTTTTGTGCGAATGAGAGTAGGGTGATCTAGTAGAGTTTAGACGTCGTAATCACCAACACAAGTTGGGCAGGTGATAAGCGAGGACGGTCGTTGATAACCGTTTCATGCAAGTATGGAATTCTTGATCGAGCATCTAACAAGCTTCTATCGAACTGGCATGGGTGTTCGATCGCTTGCGATTATCTACTGTCAAAATCAAATAATCTCCGTCAGTGTCGGGCCCTCATATTCACAAGCCAAGGCACAAACCTTGTTCGACACCAGGCCTATAACCGCGCCTGCACCCGCGTGTCTACCCCATCCACTGATTTCTCCTTTCTGTCTTCCAACTCGAGTTCTCCAGCCTCGCAAATCGCCCGCATGTCCTGGAGCGCATCTGCGATATGCTGCTTGAACTTGTTCGTGGAGGTGAGAGGGGACGAGAATTTGGACTCTATACAGAATTTGATGCGGTGGGGTGCTATGAGATCTGTGAGAGGACAAAGTATGAGCTTAGTTTGGTGTGAACGGAATCGCCAATTAAATTCGAAAATGAACATCCCCGGTCGACCTGGTCACCCGATGGTGATGTTGGCGACAATAACAAATGCAGACGGGAAACCATTACAGACGAAGAATCCCTCACGGAGGTTCGACGGTCCCGCAAAACAATGATGAAAGAAACGAATCAAACTTACAATTAATCCCATAACCATCTTCCCAGCCAGCTCCAAAGCCGGTGCCTCGGAATTGGTCACCGGAGCTCAGGGCACTAGTACTGAGCTTCCACTCCTGAGAGCGAGAGAAAAGAGGGTCAGTGAAGAGAGAGTGCGTACGTTTTTGCGGGGGATCGGTGGGACTTGAACTCGAGGAAGAGTCCAAGGAGGAGGAAGTAGATGTGGACGCATCTACAGGGAGTTCTTCGAGCATCAACTTCAGGCCTAATAAGTGCCTGTCGATTCCACGACCCGTAGCAGCTTCCCTCGTGCGCCTTGCATGAGTCTGGATGGCGTGTTGGAGGAGGGAAAGAAGTGCGCGAGGCTGATCATATTAGATTAGTGGATCAAAAACCATGAGTTCCCGTCGTCACTGGAGGGTATGAAACGAATTCACCTCCACTTCGTGTTGGCCCCCCTCTGCCACATACGCAGCTCCGCATCTCCATTCCTTAGCAGCTTGAACAAAGTCTAACCCCTCCACACTTGCACTCCTCACGCACTCTGTACGGCCAGCATTGAACATTCGCGTAAGGACTGTTTCGTAGGTCGCTGTGAGGAATCCGCGGGAGCGGTACCAGGCGAGTTGAAGTGCAAGTTGGGTGTAGGCGTCTGGCGGAAGGCGGGCTAATAGTGAAATGATTAATGACCTTTGCAACAAAAGAAAGAAGGGTACAGGAGAGCGGAAAAATATTGAGCCTCGCGGGTATGAGTTTCAGATGTTCACCACAACACAAGACCCGGACAGTAAAAGAGGCAAAACGCCAGAAAATCGACTAGGCGTCGCAAACTCACCAACACTACTTATCCAATCTGCTCCATATTCCCCGAATACCAAAATCCCTGCCTCTGAGTTATTGATCGAGGCCTGAGCCCGTCCTTCCGCTTCTCTTATCTGAGTTTCGATCCGCTCGTCAATCACCCAGTCCAAACGGGTCCATCCTTTTCCATCATCACTCACACGAGCCTCTTCTAAAGTAAGAGGGCGCGGAACAGGCTCTGAGAATGCAGAAGAGTCGATACCAGTAATGACACTGTAATCAAAGACGATGCTGGGCACCAAGGCATCGACAGGTGTGTGTTCACCCATTGCGCCAGCACGGGTATTGCGCTCTAATGATAGGGTCAGGTTTTTGTCGAAGAATCTGTTCCGAGCTCGGGGAGGGGAGCGGGTGTTGTGAAGGTGTGCGTGGACTTCTGCGTCGGAGTCTAATGCTGGGATGCTTGCGTGAGATGATTGGGAAGAACTTGGTGAGGTAGGGGTTGGGTAATGCGATGGCATGGCAGTGTAGTGGTCGAGAGAAAGAGCCATTATAGATTCGTTGATAGCGCAGAAGGTCATGGCATTTGTGGGTGAAAGGGAGAGCAAGTGTTGATAATTCTATGGGAGTGATGTCGGTTACTAACGGGACGAGCAAGAAAATGAGAGTCGAAAAACACACTGACCTCTGCCCAACGGTCTCTATCATCCGAGGTCAAGACACCAACTGGCACGGCGCTTTCCCCAGACTCTATTCTCTTAATTACGTCCAGTACTACCGCACGTATTCCATCCTCAATGGTCTGTACAGGCAACGGTGTCCGATCATCCTCACAGACCCTTACAGTATACACAAAATCATATAACATGAGCATGATATCCTGGGCATGTTCAGATGCCGGATTCCTGGTTGCAAGGACATCCGCTCCAGCTCTTGGTAAGCGACATGTGTTGAACATCTTCTCCGTATTAGTGAGGAGCCAGACACCAGTACGGGTTGTATCAGGGTCTGGATGCTGGTTAACCATGCGGGCGCGCCAGTCTAGAACGCGATGTAATATGCACGCGGCCCGGCGCACTTGCCAGGGTTCAATACCTGATCTAGTGTCACCGCGCAAGATCGACTCGGGTATGGACGGATCATTAATGAATGTAAGCCACCAGTTAGAATTGATGAGGAGCGGGGCACGCCATGAAAGGTAGGCATGGTTTGTCCAAATATTATCGTCTAGCCAGTTATGTGGCGACCGAGCGTCCAGTTCTGCGGGTACGGTTGGTTGAATTAATTGTTGGATTAACGGAAGGACATGCCATGGAGTTTATGCTGGCAAAGGCGGCCGATACCTTTCTCAAAATCATCTACCCATTGAACACGTTTTTCGTAGCTTGCTTCAAAAAGAGAGTGACCGCGTGCCTCGTCTTCGCGCAGAAAAGGCTGAATAGACTGCAGGTAACGGTCCAGCGTCTTGCGAAGGTCTGGCACGGGCAAACGCGGCAACTTTGCCATGGTGCTCAACCCAGCGCACCTCAATGAGAGGATGAATGGGGAACTCTGGTAAAGCCTCGGGGAGTATCGGAGTGTTATGCGGCCGCCTACTAGTCTTGAGATCATGCCAGTCGCGATGAGCTCAGTGAAAGGACACACGTGACTTAAATCATGAAATGGTGTGAACACGCGCGACGTGAACGGTGACGCGCCTTTGTGTCAAGCCTGAGCTTTTAAATTAACTTCGATGGCTGAACCCGCTGCACCTGCAAACATCGTTAAATGGGTCAACGACCAGTATCCACGTCCAGCTTTAGATCCAGTAAATTTTAATTAATGGTTTGCATTTATGATATTTATTCACCCGCAGGTTTGGCTTCGTGACTGTTGCTCATGGATCGCGTCCTCCTACTCCCTCTCTCCAACTGACTTTCCACAGTTTAGTTCCCATGTAACTTCTCAATTTTTTCAGTCCAGCCTCGCAGACTCCACCCTGCCGAACACTGGCCTCCCACAAAATATCCATACCATCAAAAAGGCTCGTCTTACAGGCCTTCCATGTCTCGTAGAGATTCGTGCTATCAGCGACATTGGTATTAGTGCGTTTAGCTTGATGAACGTTAGGCAAAATCGTGTGGATCGAGCAGACTTGGCTGGCCTTGTTAGGGAGGATGAAGAGGATGCAGAGGAGGACGAGGGACCAGTCCCGAAGTTTCCGAGAGGCATGCTGCGTCTTGAGTTAAGCGATGGTTTTACAACTGTCGAGGCTGTGGAATATCGTTCTATACCACAGCTTGAACTTGGCGTCACTCCGCTGGGGTACAAGGTGCGTATTGGTCAGTCGCTTTGTGTTATTTTTGATAGAGTCCGGCTGTTAGATCCTCTTGAAAGACGTACAGATTCGCAGAGGCATTATCTTCCTTGAACCACAGACGATTGAGCTGAAAGGACATCAAACAGAGGACCATGAGGTAATGCAAGATGAAATATTTCTGCGCAGCTTGAGACGGAGGCTTGGGTGAGTTCAATCCATTTAAATAATCATCAAGCTAATCAATACCCCTTAGACAAGCCGACCCAGAACACAATCCACAACCACCTGGTGAAGCAGAGGCTCCGCCACAGGCGCCCCCTCTTCCCAGAGTTCCATCTCATCCTGTTGCTAACAGACTGTCTGTTGGTAATCCACCCGAAGGTTCAACATCGATCAATGCTGCACCTCCGGTAGTTCGATCGAAACCCTCATCTACTGCAGCGCCGAAACTAAGCTCAGCACGAGCAGCCTCGAAGTCGAGCTCTATCCCTGCTTCCACCTCGTCTACCCTTGTCTCATCCTCTAAACCAACATCTTCGCTTAAGCCTCCCTCTGCTCCAGATAATATTGCGTCGACCACCTCGCCATACTTTTCTACGTCCTCTACGCTGTCCTCCTCAATCCCTTCGTCATCGACCTCGGGCAAGTCTAATCCACAAGATAACCCCTCTGCCCCCCTGGCAAGGGCTCGGATCCTCTCCCCCGCACCACGGGATACCATGTGGAGCTTGGATGACGAGGAATTCGAGGCTTTAATAACCGAGTCCGGATCAGCGCCTATCTCGCCTCCAAAGCCCATCTCCAAACTGCCCTCAAAGCGAAATGCTCCATCCACAAAACCTGCGTCACCATCCCGTCCCCCGTCCCCACCATCAGATTACGATTTAGATTTGATGGACCTAGACATTGATGACGAACTCCTTGCGCAAGCGGATAAATAGAGGCAGAAGCATTAGCGACTGTTTCTAAGCCACCGAGCACGAGAGGTTTAGGTTCTGATATACGAGACATGCGTCAAATGAATGCTTCGCAGGCGACAGGTCCACGCTATCAAGGTATGCAAGGGATGACAACTGCTCAGCAGATGGCATCTGGCTCGTCCCGACCGTCCGCAGTTCCAACCGTTAGCACAACGACATCACGTTCTCGAATCGGTCCTGCATCGGCACAACGCCAGCCCGCAAACTCGACCCAGCGTGGGGCACCGGATCCTGCTTCCGCTCGACGTCAACATGTTCCGTCCACCTTGGGGGAAAATGTCATTGACGTTGAATCGGATGATAGCATGTATGTGGACGACTCGGATGATGGAAAAGAGAATGTTCCAACACGGACGCGGGCGGTGGTCGATGAGGATATAATTGAGATTTCTGACTGAGATCAATGTTTCAAATTCTTTGTATGTGATGTCCCTTGGTCAATTATATCACCACTCGATTTCAAGTGTTAGGAGTGCTATTTCATAGACACCTGATGTCAGCTTCTTGTGCGATCAGGTTCGGCAGGAGACGCAAGGGTTACAGAGGTCGAGGCGAGTATTGTTTCTTGCACCTCGGATGCGTCCCGTTGTTATACTTTTTTTTATTTTTTAAAAATTATTGTCCTTCGCGGTCGGAGATCGTTGTTATACCTATCTACAATCTCGTCACTGACCACCTCATCATCAAGTGTCGGATACCGGGAATCAGAATTTCCACAAACTCTGTTTCTACCTTGACAGTCCCCTTCTCGAAAACCTCTCCATCCCACAAAGATGACCAAGTCTCGGGAGAATGAGAAAACGTCCGATACTCGACGCCTGATACATTGGCAGTTACAATGCCCTTCTCGCGAGATCCGGTGTCAAAGCCGCAAATTACGGAGCCTGACTGAGCAGATAAAAGGCCCGCGAGAGCCCTGGCAACATGCAATTGTTTATCCTCGTTGAAGAGGTGGAAGAATGCAATAGCGTTTATTGCACTAATGCGACCATGAAGGGGGTTGAGGGATTTCAGTGAGGACAGATCAATAGCTGGCACCGGAGAGACGTCGTCCGACGGCGCAGCTATAGAGAGAAATTCCGGATCGAAGGCATCTCCGGGAAGGAGACATCCGGGGTAAGAAGCTGGTGTCGTTTTGAAAAGTTCGTGGCTTAGTTGAAGAAACTCTGTACATACACATCGTTAGCGAGAATGATTATTCACAGGAATATTATATTACCGTTGACGATATCCGAGGCAATGATGTTTTTGGCAGGAAACCCATCCGCCGCAGCCTTCTGGCGTCAACACCGACTAAAATGGAGTCAAAAGATTATTCAAGACAGTACATAATGATTTAACGTACAGCAACAACCGATGTCGAGTAACACCGCATCGGGGCGCTCGCGACCAAGCTGGAGGATTTGTTCATACACAGGAAAATTTGATAAGTTTAACCTGAGGAATATTAATGTTCAATTTCCATGCGATGTCCAGATCTACTGAAAATGTACCGAAGGAAGCCAAATCCATAAATACAAGGATATGGTGCAACCTGACAGTGGCAGATGGTCATTAGACTTATTACGAAATCCTCTGGGAATGATTCACCTTGTATGCTTTCGCCTGAACTTCCAGGATATGCCTTTTTAAGTCTTCATCATTATCAATGCCGGTTTGTGTCTTGAAGAATGCAGCTTGTGCGGGAGACAGGTTGTAGAGACAGGTGTCTACCGTTGGGACCGACGCGGTGTGAACTGTTACGTCGCCCAGCGTTATTATGGAGTCCTCGTGCATAGGAGCTTCCATCTTGAGGGAGTGGGGTGTAATTTGTCCTGAGGCAGCATTCCACGTCCTTTTCAATGTGAACGACTCTCCCCTAAGGCGCCTACAGACACCAATAACATGTTCGTTGCCAAGTCGGTTGCTGCATTGTTCACCGTTTCAACTAGTGAAGCTATGCGATGCTAGCATCCCCGACTCCCGCGGGCTTTGTCGAACGCAACATAATTATGTAACGAGATATGCGCGAGCATCTGGTCATCTCTTGTGGCAGTGGTAGCCCAAATGTGATGTGAAAATGGGAGCGTGAACGACACTACCCATTCATAACATCTAATGCAGGATCAAGAGATAAGTCACACGAGGTAATGTTAAGCACCACCCCTGGTGGTGAACGCACGCCAGAACAAAGAACTAGTCATGGTGAAGTTGCCTTGACTAAAACGTTTAAGCACTAGTGCTATCGGCAGGATAGTTGGTTTGCTCACCGTACCGGTTCATCCATCAAGATGGCATCGATGGTCGTCTGGATCAGGTCAAGCTATGCTAGTGCCATTCGTCCTCGACATCACGGTATGCGCCCAAGACACCGATATTGTTAGTGCTTCACTAAAAAGCAGAGGTGGTATCTACAGCCTTGTTTGTCAGGTGGATAAGCGAAAGCCAGTATGCGTCACAGATTAACGTTTTGGATACACATCTCGGCCACTGGAAAGCATCTGTTTATGGTGTAGTGGATCTCTCATGGCCCGGGTGTATTGGATCACTTTGTCAGAGGCTATGAGTTACAAGAGAGACGGGGGTAATCTGTGTGCCCGAACCTACTACGTGGGTTAATGAGGTGCGATGACAGGGTATTGAGGTTTCCCTACTACTTGATCCACCTGCATCTTGGATGGGCCCCCCGAGGGAGATCCAGATCCCTGGATAATGTCTTACAACAACTTTGTTTCAGATCTTCATTCAAGGATCTGAGTTTGGTTCTTCATATTATGTTTGACTCATGAGTGACGGTCTCATGAATCAATAGAGCTTCACGGGACTACGGGCAGGTCTTGGGTAATGGTTCATGAAAGCACTTCTGACCGAAAAAGACATCTTCCGAGAGAGTATCTTGAGTACTAACGGACGAGAAATGAACTCGATAAAAAGTTTCGATCATTGACAGTCGACGTCAGTAAATTCCACTTGAAGTCCAAGACGCCATTGACGTCGAATGAGAATCATGGATGTGGACAACTTGGACGATAGGAATGAGGTGATTGGAGATATTTTCTAATCGAGATATTATGCATTCTGCAATAATGAAGGCGACAGTGCGAAATCAAATTCTTTGAGCGCGGCGAAGATTGAACGATGAATTGAATAGCCTTGCGCCCCGTCCGCTTTTGGCAACGCTTAAGTAAGCCTGTGCAGGACTTTGTTCTTAGCAGTTGCGCGAACTTCAAAAGTACTTACTGAGCTATGACAAGATTATCGACAATCTCCTCTAGCATTGTTGTACATGCACTTCCTCAAATAGACTGCAATGTTTGTGCCTACAATCTCACCACTGACCACTCCATCATGAGGAGTTGCACCTCGCGAATCGCAACTTCCACTAACTCCGTTTCTACCTTGACACTTCCCTTCTCGAATACCTCTCCATCCCACAAAGATGACCAAGTTTTGGGAGAATGGGCGAATAACCGATGCTCAGAACCCGATATATTGGCAGTTACCATGCCTTTTTCGAGAGTTCCGATCTGATAACCGCAAATAACGGAGCCTGGCTGCGCAGATAACAGACCTGCGAGAGCCCTGGCAAGATGCACTTGTTTGTCCTCAGTGAAGAGATGGAATAGCCTTGTAGCACTGATCGCGCTTATGCGGCCATGAAGGGGATTGAGGGATTTCAACGAGGACAGATCAATAGCCGGGGCCTGAAGAAACGTCGTTCGGCCGTGCAGCTATGGAGAGAAATTCTGGATCGAAGACATCTCCGGGAAGAAGGCATCCCGGGTAAGAAGTTGGTGTCGTTCTGAAAAGTTCGTGGCTAAGCTCGAGGAATTCTGTATATGCACAGCATCCGAGTCGTTAGCAAGAATGATCCGGACGGAATGAATTACCGTTGCTGATATCTGAAGCAATGACATTTTTAGCAGGAAAACCATCCGCCGCAGCCTTTCTGGCATCAACACCGACTAAAATGGAGTCAAACTCAACCAACAAAGTAGATCATGATTTGACGTACAACAACAGCCAAGGTCGAGTAACACGGCATCGGGGCGCTCGCGACCAAGCTTGAGGATATGTTCATACACAGAGTAACTCGATATGTTGAGGCTGGACACGGTTCCCTTATTATGGGCCGACTGCATAGATTTAGTACAGCTTCACTGCGTACCGAAGAAAGACAAATCCGTGGATACAAGGATATGGTGCAATCTTTCGACGGCAGGGGGTTATTCAACTTATGGTGAGGTCCTCTGCGAGTAACTCACCTTGTATGCTTTCGCCTGCACATCCAGGATATGTCCCTTCAAGTCTTCGTCGTTATCGATACCGATTTGCGCCTTGAAGAACGTAGATTCTTCGGAAGACAAACTGTAAAGGCTGGTATCTATTGTTGGTATTGATGCGGTCTGAAATGCTACGTCGGCCAACAACGTCGTAGAGTTATCGTGTATAACAGTACCGTCCATCGTAATGGAATGTAATTTGTGCAGCCGCAGCAAATATTCTGTATCCTTTTCAAGGCGACTAACCCTCACTGGTACTAGTGTCTCCCCAGCGGGCCGGCGGGATTCAGAAAATGACCTTGAATATGCTAAGTCCTTCGGGTATGAAGTGATGTACAATAGAGCAGATAAATCACAAATGACTTGCGGTACGCCATTAATTGGATCGTATTCTTATCAGTCCCTGAACTACGAAGGTGTGCCAGCGCAAGATCAAGAGCTGAAGCGTACTGAAGTAAGTACTAACGGCAGGCATGCTACACGCCACTCCTGAAGCTGAAGCTCAAGCGATGGAAGTGATATCCATAGTCAATTGCTGACATGGTGATTAGTGCGTGCCAGAGCAAGGGAATAGCTGGAATTAGCGGTACACGGAAATTACCCTGGCTAAAACCTTTGAGTACTAGTGTTATCAGCAGGACAGTTGGCTTGCTCATCGGATGATTAATCCTCCCGTCATATGGTTCCCGTTCAAGTCAGTCCGTGCCTCTGCTTCTAGTACACGCGTTCTCGACATCGTGGTATGCACTGAAGACGTGATCATAGTGCCTCCCTGAAAAGCGGCAGAGGCGATTTCTGCATCCTTTTCTTCAAGTGGAAGTCTACTGGATCAACACTGTTGTATACACGTCCGCGTCTCGAACTTCTCTTTATGTTGTTATAGATCTGTGATGCATTGTAATTTGGCACAGAAACCACGAGTAACAACTTACAAGACAGAACGGGGGTAGTCCGAGTCCGTTCCCAAACTCGCGGGGGTGAATGAGGTTCGACGACAGGACATTGAGATTTCCCTACTACATACTACCTGATCCATCTGCATCTTAAAAGATCATGAATCCGAACGATGTTCAAGTTAGAACATCGTTCGGGTTCAAGATCTTTTAAGATGTTGTGCAACTGGTACTTTGTTTAGAAAGAATTTGGATTTTCTTCTTTGTGTTATTAACGAATAACAACCATAAACCGACAAGGGCTCCAAGGGACTCTACGGGCTAATTAGATGATGACATTTATGAGCAAAAGATAATGTACATACCTTCCGAGGGAGCATCCTGGACCTGAGTATCAGGCGATAAATAAACATTGAGGCCTATCCAAGAAAGGACAGTATAGGATTAATTTCATCCGCGATGCGTGTGAAATTGATTATGCAGATGTGGGGGAATCCAGCGCACGAAAAGTAGCCAGGGAGGACACAGGCCAAATAAGGTTTCAAGATCAGTGGCCTTAGTGAACCTTACTAAGCTTTCACTTATGACATGTGCGATTGCGAACAAACTCTCCTGCAAGTGACCAAAACGTGATGAACATATCACCAACGTTTTTGGTGCTGGTATGTCTTCGCTTTCTGCTCGCAGTTCTACCTCTTCCAGGTCGAAATCTTCTCAAACATGACCATCAACTTAGCTCTCCATTGACCTCATACCTTCACTGTATGTTCCAAAGCATTGCTATAACTAAGTCATTCTATTGCTAATACATGTCAATACCAGTGAACGAAGGTCTCTGGCTCCTCGATAACAATATTGACCCATACATGGGAGGGACTTTTCACCATGTATGTCACTCCAGTAGACCAAATATCATTGGGTGACCATCTGCGCCATAGTCGCCTCTCCTACTCTCCTTGTTTTCAACCATAGTACCTCCACTTCCAGTTGTATGGGCTGTGTCTGATGGAATAGGAGCATGGGCACTTCTCTGCATATGGCGCGCGCGCCAGGGTTTATCATTTCAAAAGGGTACAAAGTCCAATGTAGAAAACCTCATCGTAAGCGTGTACGTACGTTCCATCAGCATACTTCGAATGCACACCTAACGCACCGCGCAGCTATTTGTTGAATCCCTACCTCCTACTTCCTTCACTTGCGTTATCGACATCCACATTCGAAAATACCTTTACCCTTCTTGCTCTCATGTTTGCATCTCAAGGTACGTCCCAACGCCTCCGTCCAAGTTGGCTCACTCGCATTCCTCAATTACAGGAAAAGTATCTTCTGCTCTCCTTGCTATCGCATTCGCAGTTCACCTCACCCCCTCGTCTATCCTTCTACTTCTCCCAATTCTTATGGTCCTCCTCTCCTCTCCTGTGTCTAACCTCGCTTCCCCGCGTCCTTTCCATGGTAGCCTCAAGCGTATACCGTTCCTCTTTGGCGAGTTCACACTATACTGGCTCGTCCTTGTAGGCGCAGCATGCATCATTACGGGCGGAAACTGGAATTGGGTCAGGGCATCATGGGGCGCAAGGTAAGTCGATTTCCAATTCCTGACAGATGGTCCATAAACACAGCATCCCAGCCTCACGCTACCAGATCTCACGCCTAACCCCGGTCTTTGGTGGTACTTCTTCACCGAGATGTTCGACCATTTCAGACCATTCTTCCTCATGGTCTTCTCCGTGCGTTCTCGTTGTCCTCGTGCACGCATGTCATCTAACCACATAGTTAGGTTCACCTTGTCATATACATATTTCCTATCTGCATAAAATTTCAGTACGGGATTTTTGATAATATAAGTGCTAGTTTTTATGGGTTCTGACACACCTTACCTGTAGACATGATCCCCTCTATGCCGCGTTCCTCCTTGTGGGCGTCCTGGGGACGTTCAAAGCGTACTTAAGTCTTGCAGACCCAGGCTTGTTCCTAAGCATGATATCCATATTCCCTGAAGTACATGGCTTGTAAGTATCCTTCCCTCCTACAACCCTACCCTATCTCGCACTCACTTCGCTCGCACTCTTCCAGACTTCCGACACCCCATCATCACCATACTCCTCCACCTACACGCTGCGCTCCTCCTCCCGCTTCAACACGTACTCTGGGTGAGTGAGGGCCGTGGGAACGCGAATTTTTATTATGCTGCGAGTCTTGTTATGGGTATGGCGGGTGGTGCGGGGCTTGTGGATGCATGTTGGGCTGGTATGCGGATTGCTGTGGGGGATGCGAAAGTATGGGCTGAGGAAAAGGTAGATGGTGAGAAGGGCAAGGGGAAGGTGGTGTGGTGGGAGGTGGTACAACAGTGAGGCTATTGTCTCCGTACCACCAGGAACACAGTAGACGAGGGAACACTGCGTTGGGAATTCAAGCCGAAGACAGTTGGAAGACCATGGTGACATGCATTGACATGGCCACCAAAATCTGGTGTCTCGGAGGAAAAGGCTGCGGGGAAGAGGGAGAAGAAAGCATCCATGCATACGTTGCTGTGGCAGCCTGAGTAGATTGGCATCAGGAGGCGTGCAGACAGTAGATGAATACCACAAACAAGACCCGAGATAGTCGAATTTAAGTCTATCCCGGGTGATTGCAATATTTAGGACAGAAAAAAGGAAGGTCCTGGAATGCTCGGAGAGCTGTTGCGAATTTTAAAAGAATAAGTGTGGTGTAGTATACCCATGGAATCTGTGATGACTGTTTGGGTCACTCTTGCTCAGCCAAACAACTTCTCGTTTTCTTGCTTTTTGTGTGACAATGGGTACATCACCCGACTCACGGCTTAGGCTACTATTGTGGCAAGGAAGCCAAAATACCTGCAAGCGATCTCGCAAACTTGAACCAGACAGTCACAGGTGATCGTTCATGCGAACGGGATGCACCTCCTCAACTTCACCAGTGGGGCATCTGAATATCACAATGCACAGTACGGTTTCAACCCTATATATACAAGCCGAAAAAAAATGCTGATGACTTAAAGGTTTCGCTACTTCCACCCTCAATATTGGCGATATGATTCTCAATCACTGATGATACTATGGATGATATAAAATTGAAAATGCAGAATGCGAAACTATGTCTAGACCCCAATTTCTTTCAACTCCTCTCAGCCCGAGTCGCGGCAAGCCACTCCGTCGCCTCATCAATCAGTGCTTGGATATCGGCGATGTACTTTCCAGAGGTTTCGGTGCGCTTTCGTATTACGTTGGTTGGATAGGACGCACGCCAGATCTCCCGAGTCACCGACAAATTCCACCGCGTTCTGAATCCCGTCACAACCTTCCAGAAGCCAACACATCTTGTCTTGTAGCCACGCCAACTTCGTTTCCTCGATGATGCCAGAAAAACCCCAACACTTGAGATACCTGAGAGCGTCATCCACCCAATCTTGGCCGTTCCACCAGGGAACATCGTGTATGATGTCAACTCTTAGGAGGATTGTCTCCATTTCGGCGAGCTCCGCCCAGCTCACGCTTCCAACGGAATAACTTCCACGCAAGTCCTCCGAGTTTTCGAGAGGCTGGCTGAGTCTGATGTCGATGGCGTAGTTTTTTCGGTTTCCTACAAGCTGATAGGTGTTCCCTATGCCAGGGACTTGTTTCGACGTAGATCGCCCAGTGGAGGGGATAGGGCCGTAGCGGCTCTTCCTCGCCTCGCCAAAACTGGACAACTTCGACGTCATAGAGTTTAGGTGGGACTATTCCGACTTCAGGAGATACCTATGGGACCCAGTAAGTCACAGTTCATTAGGTTTGAGATAGTATGCTCACCTGAGGATTCAGACGACGTATCGAGCACGGATGAGAGAGTGTCAGGTTCGAGTCCAGAGATAACCTGTTTTTACCCAAGCCCATGGGACTCGGTGAGTCGTAGTTCGCTAGATTTAAGACAGCGTGCTTACCAAGGATTCAGACAGCGGGCTCACCAAGAAATTAGACAACATATTGAGCAAGGATGGGAGAGTATGAGGTTTGAATCCATCGATGACCTGTTTAATACCCAAGCCCTTGTGGATTTTTACTTTGTGAGTGTGGAATGCACCACTTCTTCGATGACATGTGGACAATGCCTTTCCGATTGGGCCACAGTATAACAACCGCTTCAGATGCAGGTGGATGGTCTTGGTCTCCACTAGGCTGCAAGTCCACACCCTGTGTTGGCCGAGTCCGCTCATTGTCATATAGATTCAAGATTGCACCGAAACCGGCGTGTTTCATACTCTCACGTGAGTAGGGTGGGCTTCTGAGATTATAGCTCAGTAACGCCTTTTTATAACGATATAGTTATGCTTCGTCAGTCACTTGAATTGAGGGACCAACGTCGCTTGTGCAAGCTTCAATTTCGCGCTTGGACGTCATTGGTTTGTGCGCCATTTCACACACCACCTAGATTCCAGACCTGCTGTCGCCAAAGCACATCCGAGTTGAACGTTGATCATGTGCACCTACTGTCGCTTTGAGCGTACATTTCAATTGCGCAGAATTTTTATGTGCGTACTTAAACCACCCGGTCAAAGCACAACCTACACCTCCTCGTAATTAATATTAATCGCACTTAACCATCCAGCGGTTTCCATTTGCACACGTGGCGGCAGAGTTTGTCTACTCTTGATTTGGAGGCGATGGTCATTTATTCGGCAGCAGCTACCAGGTCATTATGCAAGCCATCTTAGTCACGCGAATGCACAGGGGCTTCTGGATGTCGAGCCGTGCTTCTCAGTGTGGTACCTACACAGATGTTTCTTTTACAACGTGGATGGCAGCAGTCCCAGATATCATATGACGGTGCGCTTCCTCTGCCAAATCATCATGAATCTTGCAACTGACACTCGTTGATCAAGAGACAATGTTGCTTGGAGCATGCTAACCCTTAAATTATGTGACTGTTGCGCAGTCTCTCATATCCGCGAGGCTAAGAAATGGATGACGGAACTTCGCTGGAAACCAAACCGTCAACCACAGCATACTTCTTCTTTTCTTCTTGACTATTTTGTATATTGATCCCGTTCATCGTCACTATAGACTGACGTTCCAGATTACCGTAAGGCTCAGATATATCAATATCTTAATAAAACACTGCAGCTGTGCGCTGATGATGATAACTTATATTCTACAAGCTTATAACGAGACGAACAACAATGCGTTGTATGTATGTCAGTCATATTTTATGCAGTCAAGTGTTACTCAAATTTAACAAGTCAACTTGAATGCTCTGGCAGGGTTCACCGTGACAACCGAGCACTCAGCAGTGAGCTACTGGCTAGTACGTGCCGTGTCGTCAACCACACTACCCAAATGCGAAAGCATAAATACGACTCACCGTCTGTAAGAATTGTATGTCCTTTACGCACCAACTGACGCTTCAAAAACGTCCACGTGACTCGCTGAAGCAACTCTTTGCATCCGAGTCACGCGGATACATTCCCTTCCGTTTTCTTTCATTATCTTACCTTGTGCTCAGAGTCTCAGACTACACGGTCCCCTTGCCTTGACCGTTCATCTCCACCTTCACCATATGCTCCTCATGCTCATTCTGGCCTAGTCAACCTTTCGAAAACGTATATATACAGCCCATGTACACTCGTACCGCTACCACTGGCAGCAGAATTCCATGCGCTGATTCCCGCTTCCAAGCACGTCCAAACACTGCAACGAAAGTCTCCGCCTCTAAACGTCTTGTGTCGTCATCATCGGCTATACTTTTCGCAACTACGTCGATCTGTTCGCGATCCCCTTCGAACTCATACCCAGCCTTACACGTCATTCGGTGGCTCAGCGTTACTATGACAGTAGTATCCTCCCAGCCTACCATGCCGGTGAGTCACGGGGTTAGATTAAAACTATTCATACTCACATGTCGCCCATGCATGTATAGCCACGGCAGCATGAGCCTTCTGCCCACGGGTCGCACATGCCAGTGATGGGACATTTACTGTCAGCGACAGGCATAGACACGGTCAACTTGAAAGCAGCAATAACAGCGAGGATGAAGGAGAGACGCATTCTTTGTGAGATGTGATTTGGGCTTCCCAAAATAATTCTGAAGGGGACGATAGAAAGACAGCTTGCTTTTATATGTATCCTGTGCAAGAACCTGGCGAAATACTCTTTCAAATAGATGACATCTGCATTGCCAGCAGACCTTAGGATTGACTTGCTTTGTCCCTGATATTCTCCCGGTGTAGGAAATATAATCCTAATCTGTTGTTATATATGGCCTACGATGTTATAGGTGACACGACGATCCCATACTGAGAGAATTTCAGAATCTCATCGTGTAAGCGCGGATACTTATGCGTATCTGTACGTATACCAGCAATAATATTAATGGTTTACGAACTTAACATTCCCTACTACATTAGGCACTGTTGTCATAGAAGTGAATTCCTTTTCATGGACATCGGCGCAATGACTGGGCCTAGTACTCTGAGGATCTATACACCGAAAAAATGTTGTCAGTAGGTTTCAAACCAATTCTACCAACCACTTGACTAAAACCATCCACGAGTGAATGTCAAGGTGCGATAAGAGGGGAAATCATTTGTCGGGAGGTTTCGAATCTATACGGTGCAACGCGTCTTGACAGTTTCCTTTGTTTATTGCAGTATGTAAATACAGAAGTTCTCTCTCATCAATTAGAGCACTCCCTCAAATCAACGTATCTATAACCTCATCACTGACCACCTCATCTTGGTGAGTGTCTTCCCGTGAAGCGAAAATCCACTAACTCCGCTTCTACCTTTACAGTGCCCTTCTCGAACACCTCTCCACATAGACCTCCAACTTTCGGGAGAATGAGCCAACGTGCGATGCTCGGAGCCCATTACATGGACAAGGACAATTGAAATGCCTTTTTCGGCTTTTCCAACCTGATGACCGCAAATAGCAGAGCCTGGCTGCGCAGACAATAGACCCACGAGAGTTCTGGCAAGGTGCAATTGTTTGTCTTCAGGGAAGAGATGGAAGAACCTAGTAACATTTATTGCACTAATGCGGCCTCGAAGGGGATTGAGGGATTTCAGCGAGGAAAAATCAGTAGCTGGCGCCGGAGAGACGTCGTCCAACGGCGCAGCTACGGAGAGAAATTCTGGATCGAGGACATCTCCGGGAATTTGGCATGCGGGATAAGAAGCTGGTGTCGTCTTGAAAAGCTCATGGCTTAGCTCAAGCATATCTGCGCATGCACATAATTAACTAGAATGCTTCATAGACGAAACGGATTAACATTGTGGATATCCGAGGCAATAATGTTTTTTGCAGGAAAACCGTCCGCTGCGGCCTTTCTGGCGTCAATGCCGACTGAAGAGGAGTCAAGATTATTCAAAACAGTCGATGATGATTTAACCTACAGCCAATGTCGAGTAACACGGCATCGGGGCGCTCGCGACCAAGCTTGAGGATGTGTTCATACACAGGGTTACTCGAAATGTTCACGCTGAGCACGGTTCCCTTGTTATCTGTCGATACATAGATTTACTGTTAACGTACAGAATAAAGATAAAACCACGAATCCAAGGATATGGTGCAAGCTTTCAGCGGCAGAGGGCTATACAACTTATACTGAGGAGGTCCTCTGCAAGTAATCCACCTTGTATGCTTTCGCCTGCACCTCCAGGATATGCCTCTTCAAGTCTTCGTCGTCGTCGATACCGATTTGGGCCTTGAAGAACGCAGCTTCTTTGGAAGACAGACTATAAAGGCTGGTGTCTACTTGTGAGGCTGTCACGGTAACAGCCAACACTAACAGTCGATCAGACAGAGGTAACGTGGATGAGCGTATGGATTCGGCGGTAAGGTAGAAGGGTGAGATATGTGTACAGGGGAAACCGGTCTTATATATGTAAGAGAACAAATAAGAAACAAACAACACGCAGTGTCCAATCATGACGTCGCACAGACAAATGACGTCGCTCATGACGTGTAGTAAGCAGTATGCTTACACCCTTCCCCACTATCCTTTTGACCTCTCTTTCTCCCAAGTGTCCAACGCCTCGCAGTCTTCTAAGTCGCGCCGAGGTAGCCATTCGTCGTCTTCTTCGCCAAAGCCAACCCAGCGGACCAAATACTTCTTTCCTCGACCCACTTTACGTTCGTCGACGATCTTCTCGATGAAGTTTTCCAACTGACCATCTGCGGTTACGACAGGTCCTGGACGAGGAAGTTCGCGCGTAGGAAACAAGCTTGCGTCGTTTTCGTAATACGCACTGCAGTTGGCTGATGTGGAATGTCGGAAAGATGTTGGGGGAATTTGGTAAGTCTAGGGTGTACGTGGATGTCTCGGGATGAGCGTCGAGCACCCTGTAGGGACCATCGTAACGTGGCATGAATTTTGCAACGCGTTTATCGCCCTTCTGGATATACTCCCGTCGGCGGTGCTTGGTTGCGAGTAACACGCGGTCTCCAGGTTGAAAAACGATCGTGGGCGCACGGCTCTTGTTAACTTGAGTTGCTTGAGCGGCTTTTGCAGCGAGGAGGTTATCTTGAGCTTCCATGACGTCGTATTTGAGTTGCGATAGCAACAACGTAGCCCGCTCTTCTTCAGACCCGCTAGCACGAGGAACACTGTCGTCCACCAGAGGTGGTAACATGCGAGGTTGTCGTCCCAGGTGTAGCTGGAATGGGGAAAAGCCAGTGCTCGCATTCACTGTATTCATGATGTGAAAACGCACCTGGGGAAGAGCACGAACCCAACCCTTATGGTTCCGATCGACGTAGTAGCTGCAGACACTGATTGACGGTTTTGTTGGTACTGTTCACTAGCACCATCTGTCTCAGGATGGTACGCTGATGACATTTTCATCTTAATACCAGTCAGCTTGTGTAATGAGCGCCAGAATTTAGACAGGAAAATCTTATCGCGGTCGGATATGATCTCCGTAGGTAATCCGTTTTCACAGTACCAATGATCGAAGAACAGTGTCGCGAAGTGCTCGGCGGTGATGGTGTCCTTGCATGGCACCAGCCGTACGTCCGTGTTCAAACGATCTGTCATCGATATTAACATGTTGTACCCATTGTCATCAGGTAGAGGACCAATGAAATCGATTGCAACAGAGTCTCCGCGCGTCTCCAGGAATAGGCAATGGGTGTAAGGGACCTGCTGTCGCTGTTGTCTTCGACTTGTTTCTCATGCACTCCGTGCACGACGGGATGTATGATTCAATCAGATCCTGTCTCATGTTCGGCCAGTAGTATGACCCGCTGTGGGTATCACAACCTGGCAGGCACATATAAGAAAAGTGCTCAGCCAGTATAAGTGAGTCTCAGCTCTGCCTAGCTGCTATACTCGCAGAATGCAAGAACGTTCGACCCTAAAGGGGAAGCAAGGAAAGCAAGGATCCACGGAATGATGCTAAACAACCCTGGTGAATGGCGGTGATGAAAGCGCGAGAAATGCGCTGAAGGCGCGCACGGGAAAGCGGAATGTGAAAGTGCGCGAAGTGCGGGAAGGTAGTGCAAGCAGTGCACAAGTGTAGAAGACGGATACTGAGACTGATAAGAGGAAAAGCGCGGATCTAGACGGATACTGAAGGTGCCACTAGCTATAGACTGATGCTAGGGCCTCAAAACGATGATGGACGCATGCATTGCATGGAACTAACTGGTGATAGATACTGAGTGGTAGAAACTAAGGTGGTCTAGTTGGGGTGTAAAATGAACATGAGTGTATGTAAGTTCTACCTAAGCGCTCTCCCAGGGCTCGGAGCCGAATAGGGAGCGCTCTAAGTATGTAAATGAGGTAAGGTGATGTAAAGTAAGGGTGCATAACGAAATGGGAAGTGTAATATGCTAAATATGGTCAGATAACGAAAAGGGACATACTGAGGGACTGGTTGGACAATGGATGGATGCTCCTGGATGCTGTGCGACATAGTGCGCTTAAGCGCGAGAAAGCGCGCAAGGCGCGCACGCGGGAATACTGCGCATTGTGCGGGAAAGTGTCGCGCCTATGGCGCGTTTTGCGGGAAGTGGTGCGCATGATGGTGGAAGTCATAGTGGATGATGGTGCAAGTTGTGCAGTAAAGGCCAGTCATCAGAATTCGTAATGTGCCTGCAGAAATGCGAGTCTCTACACCACGTAGCAACGCATACGATTTGTCTGCACCAAAATGGCCAGCAGCGTCATGAGCGGCATGAAACAAATGCTCACGAAGATTGTCAACACGCGGAATCACCAGGTGATCTGCAATGTGGAACAAGCCGTTCATGTCCTTTCGAAGCCCCGGTAAGGAGCCGAGGAGACCGTCCAGCTTTTGACACCACGAGTCTTCCTTGTAACCTTGCAGGATGCGTCCTTGCAGCGCAGTATCTCCTTGAATTGTTAGCAAGGCTGCGCATGTATCAGTTACCATATCAGAGTCCTTCCGTCAGAGCATCTGCAGCCTCGTTCTCCTCACCCTTGATATAGTGAATGGTGATGTCGTATTGGGACATGTATTCAGATCCATCGTGCTTGTCGCCTCGACAGGTCTCGTTGGTTTTGAAAGTTTTCTAGGGTGCGGTGATCAGTATAAACGTCAATGTGCGCACCCAAAAGTTCCAAGCGCCACTTCTTTAACGCTCTGATGATGGCAAGCAGCTCCTTCTCGTGCATGGGGTAGTTAAGTTCTGCTGCACGAAGTTGCGTAGAGTCGAAGGCGACTGGCCTAGCCGACTCGCGTGTTGGGCCCCAGGACAGCAAGGCGCCCGTGGCGTAGTCTGACACGTCGCACGTCAAGAATATTTTATTGTCACCTGGATCGTCATGGTCAATTGTCGTTAGGCATCTGGGACTTACAACAAGTTCTTTTATGGCATTGAAAGCAGCCTCATGTTCCGACGTCCATGCAGGAAATTTCAACTCGGCTGCTTTCGTTGTCAATGCCGTAAGAATTCGCGTATGTCTTGCAACATCAGGTAGATGTTCTGCAAGATAGCGTACGATTCCTAGGAATGACTGAACATGCGTCACTTTTCGAGGTCGTGGCCAGTCCAAAATTCGAGCTATCTTGGAACTGTCAGCCTCGATACCTCTTCCGGAGATGTGATGACCCAGGAAGTCGATTTCGGTGTTGAAGAGTGACATTTTCTTCGTGGAACAATATAGATGTGCCGTTCTCAACGCTTCGAGTACTTGTTGCACGTTCTTCTCGTGCTCCTCGATTGTCTGGGACCAGATAATGATGTCGTTCGAGGTACACGTGACAGATCTTCCCTATCAAATGACGCAAGGCTGCTGTCATGCGTCGTTGGTGTACTGCGGGTGCATTCCGCACCCCCATCGGCATAATGGTCCATTCATACTTACCCCAAGGTGTGTGTATAGCTAGATACTTCATATCGTCTGGATGAACCCGCATCTGAAAAAATGCATTAGTCATGTCAATCTTTCCAAAAAACTTTCCCTTAGCGCAGTCTTTGAGTATCTCGTCGATGCGTGGCAGCGGGTGATTATCTGCGACGGTGTTAATGTTCAGTTTACGAAAATCATTTACCCATCGCGGCAATACAGTTGGGTCTGGCTTCGGAATGATGAAGGACGGCGAGGACCACTTGCTGTCCAAGTGACCGCAGGACGCCCGCTGTCCACATGGGAGTCCAATAACGTCTTCCAGGCTGCGCGGTATTTCTTGGGACAATCGTAAGAGCGGAGTTGAACTATTTTATTAGCATCCTTCAGGTTTACCCGAAACAACACGTCTGTTGGCATCGTGTCGTTGTGCGGGATATCTGTAGGAAAATGATCTTGAAAACCTTTTTATACTTATCGTCCAAGGCTCTAAGTTGCTCTTGGTACAACAAATCGTCTATGCGTGACTGCACAGCCCCGATGACGTCTATACCGTTCACTGGTTCGCACTCACTGTTGATGATCTCTTTCAATTCCGGCAAAACGGACTTGAGCTCGTTGACGACATCTCTCTTCATCCAGAAGAGTTGTGGACCAGACGGCGAGATATGAGGTGATGGTGGCGTGTCGTTCTTGGGCTGCAAGAGATCGTAATTAGTGTCTTTAGCAACAGCATGTATGTAGCTCATGGTCTATGACAATTCGATTATGTTGGAGAAAAGGACCTCCAAGTAACAATGGAGTACAAAGATTCGGTGCGATGATCGCCCGTACAGTTTGAGATGTGTAAACTTGGTCGAGCGAGGTACATGCTAACTTGATGTATTGTGAGAGAAGAAAGGATTCTTTGTCTTTAGACAATGCGAGAGAGACAGGTAACAGTTTTGATAGTTGACGCCGGCGTAATCCGAGTTTGTTGACGAGTTCTTCACCAATCAGAACTAAAGAAGAGCCATGGTCAATAAGAGCAGAAACGTTTATAGGAAAAGCAACGGCAGGCCCGTCAACGAGACAGTCCCAACGAAGGTGAGGGGTTTGTAGCGGGGCCACTGCACTCTTCGCCCGAGTCAGTACCATTCCCCAATACTGCGGACGGCATCACCACTGCGACCGTTTCAGCATCTTCATTGACATCTACCGCAGCCACAACGTCCTTCTTTTTCGTTTTCTTGGCCAAGACGGCACCTGCTGTAAGTGTCTTGTAGGACTGCGCCATCAGGGAATCCCATCGGACAACTGGTCGACGTATGTCCTGCGAAAGGCTTGCGACATTTGAAGCAGCCATCGTTGTCCCTCAACAGCTGGCGTTCTGTATCAGTAAGACTAGGGAGTCGCGTGAACGTCTTCGCATTGCTGTCCTTCGCCTGGGTAGTATTGCCCTTGGCGTTGTTGCGTGTGTTAGCATTTGACTTCTTATCGGGAGCCGAACAAGCGCGTTCCGTACGTAGTGCACTCTCTACTGCTTCTTTCTGCCTCACGAGATAGCGTAGACGCCTGTCATCGAGGATTCGAACCTTTGCGATCCATTTGCGTAGGTCTTCCTCAACGATGTTCTCTGCGTGGTAGTCAGCGGCAAGGTCAATGTTCATGTGAGACTCAAGGTGGTAGAGAATGTTGACGTCCGCGAGGTGAGAAGGTGTCCCTCTAAGTAGCGTGTTTTGACTCTGTACGTCTATAGCCCACTCGCTAAAGGCGCGTTGTCCTTGCGTCGAGGCTAGCATCTTTCTCCTGATGGTATCTGCCCAGCCAATGGGGAGCCAAATTTCGCGTACTTCTGCCATATACTCCTTGAATGTCATCAGGTCAATTTCGTCTTGGTTCGTCATATACCAGTCCTGGATGCGTGGTTCTTGTAATCCCCACGCAACCTTTCGAACCATTTCGTCTTCGGGGACGTCCTTGTGCATAAAAAACTGGATGCACCCCATCTCCCACGACCATAAGGCATCAGGCGTTATTTCTCCGGCGGTGAGAAGAGGAGGCTTGCTAGCAGAAGACTGTTCACAATGTGCAGTTTTGGTCGATGACATGATGGAAGTGATAGGGGTATAATCGGAGTCGCTCGATTCCGAGTTAGTGCGTGTATGCGCTGTGTTCGGCACGAGAACACTCGGGCTCTCCGGAGAATGTGGAATGAACGGTGACAACACCCGCTCAGGCGATGGTGTTTGGTTGTGTACAGGAGGTGTGTCGGTAATCGTCTTCCCGAGCTTGGAACGACTTCTTGTCGTTATAGAAGGCAAGGGTACGGGAATACGAGAGCAGCGGTGTAGAGACTCGATCCTGGGTAGCCTCACAATGGCACATATTGCAACATAGGTCGAGTCTACAGTATCATGCATGTAACACGACACTTGCGTGATAAACGCGACGTTCGCGCAACGCGCGCGACTTAGGCGACACTTGCGCGACTTGCGCGCGCTTTAGGCGAATTTTCCCGCGCCTAAGCGCTATAGAGCGCCTGACTTCCCACTGTGTTTTCCCACGTCCAACCAAGTTCCCAGGTATGCATTTCTCCATTTATCATTTATTTCAACATCGTACCATGTTTATTTTCACTTGGTACACATTTTTCATGACACATTTTTTACTTTACACAACACACATTACCACGGACCACCATCATCATAGACAGTCACCATCTCCGAGTTTTTATTATGTTTTGAATAAATCATCGCAAGCCCTAGTAGCAGTTAGCTCTAGTGGCCATATCCGCATCAGTTGTCTTATCAGCATCTCAGTACACTGTCTTAACATCTCACTATCGCTCGCATACCGCTTTCACCCAGTTCCGCTTTTCGACGCGCTGACTTTCCCGCGCTTCGCGCGCCTATAGCGCCTTTGTTCCCGCGCTTTTCGCCTTATCACTGCGCTTTGCGCATTCCCCCTAGAGTTGACCAGTGGATATTTGCTTTCTCCGCTTCCCCTAAGGGACGAACATATCGCACTCATATTTTCCTCCCTTCAACAATTATATCAGCTGCACCCTCAGCTGAGTTGAAGATCCTTCAGCGGGGAGGCAGTTTGAAAGTTGGTAAAGGCGGCGGGCTGACCGGATGCGGTCAATACCCGACGGTTAGGTTTAGGTAACGGTAGAAGTGGTGACAGAGACGAATTTATTTGCTCAGCTGAACGTTAAAAAAAGTGTGAGGCTGTCACGGTAACAGCCAACACTAACAGTCGATCAGACAGAGGTAACGTGGATGAGTGTATGGATTCGGCGGTAAGGTAGAAGGGTGAGATATGTGTACAGGGGAAACCGGTCTTATATATGTAAGAGAACAAATAAGAAACAAACAACACGCAGTGTCCAATCATGACGTTGCACAGACAAATGACGTCGCTCATGACGTGTAGTAAGCAGTATGCTTACACTACTGCTGGGATCGACGCAGTCTGATATGTTATGTCGCCCAACCGTACTGTGGAGCTATCGTGCACAGCAACGTCCCCTATCGGGATGGGATGCAACTTGTAACGCACATAGCATTCCACATCCGGTTTAAGGCGACTGAGCATCTCCCGTTATCATGAATGTCTGTCGCTGTAATTCGCCACTTCTTGTATGAAGTGAGCTGGCAACTGCTGGCAATCGAGCAGATAACTACAACTACTGGCGGTACGAGTCGGAAGTCCATTAATAAGGGAGACACCGCTAGCAATTCAAATATCATGACAGATACAAAATATACATGAGTGCAAGACAAAAAGTTGAAGTGCTGACGCAGGCATGTGCTACACTTGACGCAATAGTCAGCGCGATACCAGGTGTGTAGTAAGCACACCTGCATTCTGATTGGGGACCAAAGAAATGCTTGAGACGCCCAGCCGCATAGAAGAGCCAAATCACGCAAGGTTTGCAAACGGCTTGACACGGATGTTGGGCTGGTCGTTTGTTCGAGGGAGGTAGACGCAGGGCATTTCATGGAATCGCTGGCGTATGGGCACAGTCAACGGCGCAGTACGTAAGGCGCTCCAAGTGTGTCGCGAATTGATCAAGCTTGGCGAGACGACCTCTGTGTTCTTGCCTGACACTATGGACTCCGATATCGCAGATCCACCGTTTCTGCATCTCGATGCCCTGCGTAATCATGGCCTCCTTCGATCCGTAAAGGGAGAGTGACTTTATGTGTGCGGTGGTTCAAACGTTCACCTACCACTCATTAAAGCTACGTAAATCCTGCTCCATGTTCTCGTCATGGAATGCCTCTTGTTGCGAGTCTAATGTATCACTGTATCCAGTTCTGACACGAGAGGTGTTGTGGTATGCTCCTGTACTATTCGTGCAGAGCTTTGTCGAGAGCATCTCGTCCTCCTTAATTAATACCACCACCAGGCCGACAAGAGGGAGATACATGGGTGAGTTCTGCAGCGGCTTGTAGTGGAATTTTCAAATGTGAAGCATTCATAACTGGAAATGGGGCTCGAAGCTAATATAGCTAGGCAGTGGTGAATAACAGTGCTGGTGCAGGTGTCGACCAGCGGGCGGGAAAGTTCAGTATCTTTGGCTATCCGGAACGCCTCGTAATTCCTTATATTCAGAGCCAACCCCACGGCGCGTCGCAATATTTCCAGGATTTGCTACGTCGAGATTGTGGCACAAGTTGACAACCATAACATTGAGAGCTGAGCTGCGTAGCCGCAAATTGCAAATAAATCTATTTTAACTGATTAGGATGCTTTGTAATATTCCCAATATAACAAAATTATAATAAATTTAAATTATCCTGCTAGCATACATACTCGACTCAGATTCTCTGGCTCCAAGTTGGACAATCCTTACTGTCAATGATCAAGCTATGATTAGATTATCGACCATCTCCTCTGGAATCGATGTGCATGCACTGATTCAAATTGACCGCGATGTTTGGTTCTCCATGACGGGATGGTCAGTAGATTGTGCATAGGTGGGGGTGGTCGGTAAATTGTCCATAGGTGGCCTATCTACAATTCACTGACCACCCCGCCATGAGAAACTGTACCTCGTGAAGCGGAACCTTCACTAAATCTGTTTCTACCTTTACAATGCCCTTCTCGAATACTTTCCCGTCCCACAAAGATCGCATCGATGATGACCAAGTCTGGTGAGAATGAGTGATGCTCGCATCCCACGATATTGACAGTTAGTATGATGCCTGTTTCGAGAGTCCCGAGCTGATCGCCTCAAATCACGGAGCCTCGCTGTGCAGATAAAAGACCTGCAAGAGTCCTGGCAAGGTGCGATTGTTTCTCCTTGTTGAAGAGATGGAGAAGCTTATTAGTTATCTGCAACCTTAATTTACCAAGTGGATATGCGGAAGTCTTCCTTTTGCAACTATGCGTGAATTGTCGTTTTTGAGCACACGCGTGCGTATGAACGGTCAGGTACAGAAAGCATGTCTTTGTGGTATAGCATATCTCTTACATTTGCAGGAACCATAGGTTACAAGAAAAGACGGTGTTGATCTAAACGCTCGGACCTAGGGAGCGTCCAATATGTAGGTGGTTCAGGGAATCATCCAAGGATCTGGGCCTTCGTCTTTTTCTTCTTCTTTGCGGTATTGTTGAATGACCGCCACGAATCAACACGGGTTTCACGGGACTCTATAAAGGAGGTGATAGATGATGGTTCATAAAAGCGGCTGTGACCAAAGAAATCACAACACGCACCTTCCCATGTTTTATCTTCCTCCGCTTTACGTTTCCTTGTAGCAACTTCTTCCTCCTTTTTCCGAGCTTCCAGTCCCTCATTCGCAAGGTTCATCTTTATCGCTCTGCAGTAATACCGAATAATTAGGACCGCAATAAAGCTCAACAGTAAAGACGAGTGTCTCACTTCCTGCGTCTAACCTCTTCCTCAATTAACAAGTCCTTCACCTTCGCTCGCAACTGCACCTTGAAGGACGGGACTAGTCCTCGAAGTTTCAGATCATCGTCCTGCGTGCTCGTAGAGAAACCGTGACTACGGAGGAGCTGTAGGCGCGCCTCCGCAATTGTGGCGTCGAGAGCTTCGCGTTTGGCAGTGTCGGATAGCTCGGATTCGGCCTGGGTCAAGAGTGAGAATTTGGATCCACATGTATACGACAAACCAAATGATATGCGAGGAAAGTTAATATTGAGACTTCCGTTGGAGCGAGTGTTGTGAGTAACGGAAGATGATACAGAATGAACTCAACAAAAGAATTAAAAGCATGGGGAAGGCATCATGAAAGGAAGAAAAACGCACCTTCTTGAGAAGGTCGAATGCATCTGGAGCACGAGCGTGGGGGGTCTTGTCAGGATGGATGACTTGTTACGGAACAACGTACGCATGCACAAAATCGACCAGACATGAAGTGAAGTCGAGTTCAAGGTCGAGTAGAATCACCAGACGAACAACCATGATTACGAAGGCGCAAAACCGTCAGCTATATTCTATGAATTAGAGGACAGGTGAAGCGAGATCGCTCACAGAGAGACAACTGTCGGTATCTGCGCTTGATTCCTTCGGGCTTTGAAGACTCGTCTATGTCGAGAATATCATATGGGCTAGGTCATAATGCTAAATGACTGATCAAACGCAACATGTGGCTACTTACTTGAGCTTGAACGCCTTGAGAATCCGCTCGACCTCGAGCTCACGCTGGAAGGCAGACGCTTCCCGGGAGAGCAGCTGCTCTATATCAGTATCGCTTGTCGTGGGTGTCTTCGAACTAGAAGGTGTCGATGTTCCTGTCGACATGTCGTTGTCGTCGTCGTGGGCGTTACCGATTTGAAGTATGGTTCTAGGCTTCCTCACAGAAAAGTCACGTGCTTGTCACTTGAAGGTCGGAAGCGGGAATATCTTCAAGCTCGCCATTGACGGCGATGTCCTTCAAGCTGTGTGTACCTTTGTTGAGGGCAGGCCGTGCACCTCAGTTGGTGAGCGTGTCTTCAGATCAACAGTATTTGCCGTGCTAAATTTTTCATAGACTGCTCATTACTACCCGGACGCATTCCTTCGATGCCGTTCATTGCATACTGTCAACAGCATTCATTTCGTGACCCGTCTTAGCAAAAGTCCATGCTCATGGTCGCCATCACACTCCCTACTTTGGCGAAAAATGGCCACCAATTCGCGTCCCGGGGCACCTTTGAATGCTAAATCACGTACTTCACCATATGCATCCCGACAGTCATTATACGCCGCCCGGAATCGCAATCTTCTGATGTACTCCTCTGCCGTCGTAGGTTTTCGCTGTTTTATTTCTCACATATTTTTATTCCATCTCGACAGATTGTTTTTGCAGTAGGGGTTACTTATGCTGCAGTTCCGCTCTACCGGATGTTCTGCGCAGCCACTGGCTTTGCTGGCACTCCAAATGTCGGTACAGGCAGATTTGAACCTGCGCGCCTGGTTCCTGTTGATGGAGCACGTCGCATCAAGGTTCATTTCAATGCTGACCGTGCTGAAGCGTTACCGTGGACTTTTACTCCTCAGCAGAAGTTCGTGACGGTCCTTCCCGGAGAGACCAGTCTTGCGTTTTATAAGGCAACGAATGAGAGTAAAAAGGACATAATTGGAATCGCAACGTACAATGTCACGCCTGACCGAGTGGGTATCGCACTAGACGTCGGATGTCAGCACCCATTGATGTTTGATGATGTAGATCGCCCCGTATTTTTCGAAAGTAGAGTGCTTCTGCTTTGAGGAGCAGAAATTACTTGCAGGAGAGGAAGTCGATATGCCTCTCCTTTTCTTCATAGACAAAGATATTCTCGATGACCCTGCGTGTAGGGGCATTGATGACGTTGTTCTCTCGTATACATTCTTCAGGTCCGTGTCTCTCTGTTACCTGTCAAATTTACCAACCTCAAATACTGATTATATAGAGCCCGTCGTAACGCTCAAGGTCATCTTGAGCCAGATGCAACTGACAAAGACGTTCAGAAGTCCCTTGGGCTTGAGGATTACGAGATGGCACCGCGTGCAGAAATCCGCAATGCGCAACCAGGAAAGAGCCCGTGATTTATGTTCGCTTTGATAAATTTTCACAGAGCACATCAAGTGTTCCTCGCACTCCTCTGTATATCTATTCTACAGCATACATACCAGTACTTGTTCGGACGAAGCGGAACGCATCTTTCCCTCATACCTGGATAACTCCAAGCACCCTGTTAATCGCAAATCCAGCACACAACTACTATTGCATCATATGGCCTGACTGACAAGCATTTTCATGTACTTTTTAGCTGAAGTACGTTGACAATTCTAAATTCTGCACATATATTATTTATCTTAACCCACATGAACCCTAGGCACAATCTGGCATGGCTGTTGATGAGCTGTAGCTGTCGAGACTCGACATTATACTGGGGTATCTGCCCCTGACACTGCTGATATACCGCCATTGCTTTTTAGCTTTCCCTGTAGCGGCAGGGATAGACCCCGAATGTTACTTGCCAAGAACTCGCCCACCGCGTTTTACTCTGTTAAAGCAAAACCGCAAGCCCTCTTCGAGATTGCAATGAGCGCAATTATTCCCGTTACAACTTGCGAGCTAAATCATACAGATGAAGCACTAGGGAATTTCCGTATGGCCTCTGACGTCTTGCCGTAAGGTCTGCTCACGGTAATCTTCAGTGGAGCGAGGCTTTCCTGTAAGAACCACAGGCTGGCCACGAATTCTCCCCCCAACTAGACGGACTAAATATGAAATGGTGATCATTACATGGTGATGTACCGGTTCTGCGCTATCGAGTTTCATTTCGGTGGACAGACACTGTGGACAAATGATCCATCGAGATGTGAAGATTGTTGAGTGACATTGTCATCTCATGACGCTCTTGTAGAACTTGTGATAACGATTCGTGAATATTAATGTCAATGACATGTGACATTTCGTCGAAGCCTGGCAGATAGCTCGGCCGGCTGGCATTGCCGGTGGACTTCGTCAGCTTTCTTCACCAACACATTTAATTTTGCATCCATAAATAAAGCTTCAGCTTTGAGTCTGCACTTGTGTCCATCTCTCCATGAACGGTTTCCGCAGAGAGCTCAGGACTGCTACTAGTAGTCTTCGCACAAATTTGCGCTCATACTATAATCATACTAGTATCGTGTCTGCAGCAGTACATCGTCACCACTGGTTCCACTCCGTCCGTGCTTTCTCGGCTTCTGTAGACATAGAGCCTTCGGAGACACCAAAGCACAAGCCAAAAGCCAGCACACCACTTCGTCGTAGTGCATCTGCATCGATACCCATTCGTTCCAACCCGACCCCTACTAGAAGTTCTATCAAGCCTGTGATCACTCTTGCAACAGCGGAACGCTACTTATTGTCAAGACTACGCTCCCGTCTTCCGGATGCTCAGACTCTTCACGATGCCTGGTGGGTTCCACACTGGGGCGAAGGGGGCGAGATTTTTGTGTTCTCGAATGGAAGTTTTGTGTGCTGGGGTCTTGGAGAGGGAGAAGCGCGACGATTTGCACGAGAAGTTCTTGCACCTAGCGAGGTTGGCCGGTTAAAGGATCCAGAGACAGAGGAACTGGAATTTGTGACAGATCCAACAGAGTGGGTACTCAGTTCAACCACTTGAGCCAAATTTACTCACAAAACTCCCTTGTCAGAAAAACTCGAATACAAGGAGATTTAATTATACTTGGACGTGTAGCACCACTTGAGTACTCTGAAAATGCTCCTGCCGTACCACCAGCTTTCCCTGCACTTCCCGCAGATACCCTTCTGGCGCGATATACATTCTCCCAAGCACTATCACGTTCTACAGCTCTTTCAGGTCTTGAAGAATCACTTGAGGACTATCTCTCCTCCGTAGCACTTCTCCCGCACTCCCTCGAGAAGACAGGGAAGCCTGGTCTAAGCAGGGAAGCCCTTATCAAGAAGCTCGGAGCGCTCATGAAGTTTCGCCAGGGCCTTAACCTCAACAGGGAGAACTTCTCCGACACACCAGACTTGTACTGGACCGAGCCTGAATTAGAAGGTTGGCATAGTTGTTATGAGTCCACGTCGATCTAACATAATCTGCAAGGTTTCTTCAAGTCGATGACAGCGGCTCTCGAAGTGAAGGCGAGAACCAACGCGGTCAATGAAAAAATCACCTATGCCACGGAGGTGAGACGCTCAAGGTGAAACGATTCATGAAACTAATCGTCTAACCAGGTACAATCAACTCTCCGTCAGCTACTTACGGAGGTGCATCATCTGACGTCGAAGATCATGTGCACATGCTAACCTTTCTATAGTCGTCTACTCATCGGATGGAACTCGTTATCATCGCCCTTATTGCTGTGGAAGTTGTCATCGTACGTGCTTCGACGGTTATTTCAACTTTTGCCTCCTCAATCTTTATGCACTTTCCTATTCCAGGCTCTGATACGGGATGGCCCCGAGCTCTGGCAAATGGTTTTTGGCTCATCTCATGTTGAAGATAAGATACCAGCACCTCATTCATAAGCGATCAAGATCATTGAACAAGAATCTTTACGATTTGTGGGTGCTGTTCTGAATCCAGATATCATTTCGTGTTGATCGGGTAGACATAGAGCTCAACCTTAACATTGCATCACGTATTTACACTATTCAACACTAGCAAGCTTCCACATATTTCAATCTCCACTCAATGTACATAGTTGTGTTGCTTCCGATCTTCATGCGAGTTTGACGGGGCCGCCTACTCGCGCCTGTTACTCGCGCAAATCAATCTTTCTGCGTTTGCAGAGCGAGGCTCAATGGTGCATGCAAAAGGTTTCGGTCGGCTGCCAATGTCATCAATGTTGCGTGGCCGTTTGAACGGAAGTCACTTACATTGCAAACCCCACTGTAAACTTGGGATTCACATCAATTTCACACCCGGTCGAGTCCTTCCCCTTTCCAATGCGGAACGTCGCTAAAATAGAGACGATGGAGGCCCAAATGCTCTGATCTGCGATATACTGTCCGGAACACTTTCGTCTGAAGAACTCATCAGCATTGAGTGGCAAAAGTCAACCGCAGCGTACCGTCCAAAACCAAAGGACTGCGGTAGAGAGCCTTGGATGAGTTCTCCAGTAGGTAAAAAATGTCGTTCCGGTTTGAAACTCATCGAATCCGGGAAGCGTGATTCATCATGTGTCATTCCCCTTGGACCAGTCAAACCAACTACCAAAACAAACCTGCATGGTACTCACCAAACGTTTATAAGAAGAATGGCGCCTAAGGATAAGTGATTGGTGTAATTGATTAGTGTCATAGATTGTATCCGCACCCTTTGGGATATAGTATCCATCGTAGACATCGCTTGTACTCGTAAGATGAGGAATAGCTGATGCATGTATCGCATGATTTCCTGGAAGCACGATTGGATTTATTGACTCACAGCACGGAACCGTCGGTCGCCACCGTAGAGTCTCGAGATAGACTGCTTCGACATAGGGAAGCCCTTCTTGATCACTAAAATCAGGGAGACGACTGTCGCCAATCACCCTATCGATCTCTTCTTGTGCCTGGCGGGAAAATTGCTGTAGAGAGGAAGGCGCATATTCATGGATCTGACGAACCTTGATCTGGACCTCTGGATGAAGGATCATGGCAAGCAGAAACACATTCAAAATAGAGGCGGTCTGACAAGAGACACGTATCAGTGACTAAGGAACCACACCAAGGTTGACTGAGACTTACAGTTTCTGCTCCAGCTTTGTGACATCTTCCTGTGAGTGTCATAACATTCTCGCTGTGACTACAGAAGACGCACCAAAGAAACTACTTGCAGCGATTGCTTTAATTGCCTCTTCGTCTTCAGCGGTGGCTACACCATTCTCGGTCGAACATTTACTCAGAAGGTCCTTGACGAGGGATTGTTGTGTAGTTCCACCAGCCTGCGCTTCGAGTATGAGAAAGGGTACATCAATGACGAAATTATTACCATTTCAGCTTTCACATACTCTACGGGATCGTTAAGGATGTCACGAGCGAGACCGCGGCACTCTACAGCCCGGCGCTTGTACATCCCACCAGGAAGCCACACCGGAATATATTGTACTAGGCAAAATGAAGTCGATAAAATTATTGGCATCTAGAAAGGACTCACAAAATGGTATGAATTCGATGAGTGCAGCGCGCTCTGTTCCGACCTCCCGGATAAACAAATCAATGATACGATCGAGCTTGGTCACAAGTGGATCCTCTACTAGCGCGAGATCGTAACCGTATGTGACAGTCATGATGATTGCCGCTGCCAACCTGTGTAAATGGTGATTCATGTTAAATAAAGGGCATTTGTCAGTACGTACGTCTTTAAATGCACAGGGAACTGAGTTGGGGAAATGGTAAGATTCTCCAGGAGTTGGCGAACTTTCTGAAGCTGCATAGACTGGTATTTGCGACAAGCTTCCTTGTTGAATCCTGCGTGAAACATCTTCCGGTCTGCAATCAAAGTTGAATTCAAAAGCTAACCACCACAGTCAGAACGAACGTTGTCGCCACAGGTCCCCATACGGTAACAACCCGGTGTTAAAATCTATCCCAAAACTGTAGTTGATTAGTGACATCGAGGAAGAGCACAGTGAAAAATGTTGACGTGCAATACATTAGTAAAGACATATGGTCTGTCGGAATATACTCCAGAACGTTGTTCCAGAAGAGTGCGCGCAAGCTTTTCAGAATTGATAATGACAAACTCGTGCCCTAGGATAGTTGAATAGACAATATCGCCTTCGCACAGTGCATTGTTGAGTCGCAATCCTGAACGCCTGAGTGCAACATACCGTATTTCTTCGCCCAGTCGGTATATGTCAACCAAGGCTCGAAAACATTGAGGTCAGACACATTTCCAAGGATCGGCAGACGTTTTGGCCCTGGAGGGAGTGGCAAGCCCCTCCGGAGCCTCCGTTGTTTCCAGACACGAATGGAGATGGACATTAGTAACAAAAATGTAGAGGATATCAGGAGGTGCGGCATGGTCAACAGCATTCTTGGAATATTGGTGTTCGGAAGGCGTTTTTAGGGCTGTTCACAAGACTGGGACCAGGGATGTATTTATAAGGCTGGAGGATGGCGGCCATCTAAAGATCGTTCGAGTTCTCCGCCATGGACTAATCAGAGTTTGGACTGGTCGAAAAGTAAGTTTGAAGTTATCGTTGAGCCTCAGTGAAACTGCTGAAATTAGCGCGTGTTACGGATACTTACAAACGCGGTGGAGAGCTCGGTGTCAGATAAGTGGTAACATGTTATCAGAAGTTCGGACCTTTCTTGTTTCCTTCGAGCGACTTCAAACTCTGAGCGAAAAAAGCGGATGCCCTCACGTCATTCTCGTATTAGGACTCTGTGCAAATCTAGACGGGATAGAGTTTACACCCAATGATGTTACGTAAATGCGTTTTTCAAAAATCGAAGAGCAGATTTGCCACTTGTCCGCAACTGTAGTAGCGCTGATGCGGATCTCGGGCTCACATACGGTGTCCATTCTTGCTCTTGTAATCGATCCCGTTCGTATGACTGGAGGGCTAGCATGTAATAAATCTAAGTTCAGTTTCTTTGTTTTGTCCACTCATCAGTTTTGCTAGGTTTTGCTGGACTCCAAATTCTAACTAATTTAGGTGTCACTTCGTAACGGAGACAGGGAACCGAGTGTCCCTTGCGGACATGGCTCATCGTAGAAGTGCATTTATACTATGGCCGCAGTGATTTAGACAGTGAAGTGAATGATACTTCTACCTCTGTTTAACAGCGACTTGAGTATAAACATTTCCGCATTACATTCACACTCTCATGGTTGGCTTCAGTTATCCCGTCGTGCTTGCTCTTTTTGTGTTCTCCATTTTGGTTAAACGGTACATCAAGAAGAATAAAGACAATCCAGCAGGTCTACCTTTACCCCCTGGGCCCCCACGGCTTCCTATTGTTGGAAACTTGTTTGGTATTAAAGACTTAGGAGCACAGTGGTTGATGTATGCAGAATGGGGCAAAAAATATGGTTCGTCAAGAATCAAGATCTTGCTTATGAACAACACCTCAACTATGAATGACAGGCGACCTCCTCTATCTTGAGATACTTGGTCAGAAGATATTGGTCATTAATACGGAGCAGATTGCACAGGAGCTTCTCAATAAGCGATCTCAGAAGTATTCCGACCGCCCCCAAGTGTTGATGGTCAAGTTGTAAGTTTGTCGTTTGTTTGTTTGTCTAAGTAATCATGTTATCTTACAGAATGGACTGGAGCTTCAATGTGGGGTTCATCCTATATGGTCCTTCATGTGAGCTCTTCTCCTCAGTATACTGCTTACTATGTCCTGACCATGATACAGGGAGAAAGTTGGTTGATTAGCCAGTACCTTGGTCTTGACTAATTACGCTTGCGCCCCACAGACATAGAAAAGCCATGCATCAGGCATTAAATCCCCAGGCCATGCTTTCCTACCAGGACCTCCAGCTCAGCAAGGTCCATCAGATGATCCACAACATCTTAGCTATTCCACACGAAATGGAAGCTCACCTGCGAACGTAAGCATGGCCGCAAATATCCTTTACTGAAAATATAATATATAATCGAATTAAGATTCACGGCGTCAATGATCATGCAAGTCGTGTATGGTTATGAAATGGCTCCGCGGGACGATTTATTTGCTTCCATCACCGATCGGGCCAGTGAGATGCTGACAAATTCGTTTTTTCCTGGCGCTGCATTGGTCAATACATTCCCTTGGTGTATGTACCTTCTTTCAACAAGGGATTCTGACTCATATTTGGTATGCAGTCCAACACTTGCCGGAATGGTGCCCAGGGGCAGGCTTTAAACAGTGAGTCTGGTGGGTAATTATTAATAGCTATACAATAATTGGAAGGTATGCTCGACAATGCCGAAAGCTCACACGTGAGTTGCGTGACAAGCCATATGAGTATGTGCAGAAAACAATGGTATGTTTACCCTCTCCGAGACATAGAATAATCTATTGATCTTCGCTTGAGGCCAATGGCACAGCACCACAATCAATGGTGTCCCAGATGATTGAAAAACAGGAAGAAGAAGCCGTGATCAAAGCGGTTGCAGGTACAACATACGCAGGTGTGATTTAATATCTAATACCTTACAGCCAAGAATGTTGATGGTGATATTAGCCGCTGTTGAAACTGTTCATATCTATATAATAGCATAGTCCTCGCTGACACCTTTCTAGTCATCATCAGCGCTGTCAGCTTTCATGATGGCGATGATTATGTTCCCTGAAGTACAAAAGAAAGCTCAGGCAGAGATCGATCAAGTCACTGGAGGCACCAGAATGCCTGATTTTGGCGACAGGGAGTCGATGGTTTATCTCGAAGCCACATATTGCGAAGTCTTGCGATGGTGCCAGGTCACGCCACTGGGTGAGAACATCCCCTCATGAAACTCAAATTATGCATGGATTGACATGCGATTCAGGGGTACCTCACATGACAACAGAGAGTGATGTGTACAATGGATATTTTATTCCAAAAGGTGACCTAGGTGTTAATCTGTAAGACGCAACTTACTGATATTGACGATTCTGCTGTTAGACACAATTGTCTTTGCCAATATATGGTAAGGTAAAACATGCTTCCGCTTATGGTCTAATAGACTTCAATAGGGCGATGACACATGATGAAAGGATGCACCCTGAACCCTCTAGGTTCATGCCTGAGCGTTTTATTCAGGAAGATGGAACACTTTCGAACGACCTCGGACAGCAACAATTTGGATTCAGAAGACGGTATTTCAGGTAAATACTGCAAGTGATGAGAATGCTCACTGAGACTCAGGATTTGTGTTGGGAAATATCTCGCTGAGGCATCAGTGTGGATCGCTATGGTGTCCATTCTCGCTGTGTTCGACGTGAAGAAGGCAACGGATGAGTTTGGGAGTGAAATCGATGTCACCCCTCAGTACACACCAGGTGTGATTATGTAGGTCGTTTGAGCTGAAAGCGTGTCACTCTTATTTACGAGTCCCTTTGCAGTCATCCAAAACCCTTTCCATTCTCGATTACACCTAGGTCACAGAAGGCAGCAGCAATGGTCCAGCCTGCTGCGTCTTCGACGGGTTGTGGGTTACTAGCGTGATGGTGGTCTCATTGTGTGGAATGGCGATGACTGCCAGTATGTATTTAAAACACGTCTCAGATCTCGCGCGATATATCAGTGAAAGGGTTTGTGTTTTATGATGTCAGTAGTACAAAAAATGTAGCAGGGGACAATGATGGCAAATTTACTAGCCTCAAAGTGACATCTGTGTGTGAATGCAGTGGGATGTAGCTGCAAAATAACGAGACGGAGGCTGTGGAAGGTTCAAATGGGGCTCGCAAAGGTTGACATGGCCATCAGCAGATTCAGCACCGAGCACTGGAACAGCACCCGTACCTTCCTATCGTGACTAACTAAACATGCGGTGCTCACGGCACTGCCGCTGCCGTATCGAATGCGAGTATGAGGGAATTGAATTGAATTGGGTTGACACAAGTTGGCAATTGCATAAGATACTGACTACTAGTATTAGTCTAGGGACACAGAGCACCTAGCTATGTCGGGTGGATGTCGTTAAAATCCTTACGTGGTGCAATGAAAAGCAACCAACAAGAGATAGCTGATATGACGGAAAGTTCCTGTTGGGCGGTCGTTGTAGGTTTCCCACACTGCTCTCTGATACCGTGCTCTCACTGGCTTCTACAACTATACTTGACACACCTCCCAATCGAATGAATTAACCGTTTCCATGCCGCTTCTTTTGTGACTTTCCCTGGTCTGAATTGCTCCTATCTGGATCTACCGTCTTACGCTATCTTGGGGTTCGTCATGTACCGAAAGTGCTTTTTCCGCCACGTTTCATGCTATGGGGGTAGTTTGTGAGGCCAAGATTCCAAATGGTATAGCACCACAGCGGCATAGCTTACTGTGGATATAGCCACATTTAAATTCTGGGGTGTCAAGGACGTCATCGACTTCATCCTCAAGCCGCGGAGATACAATTCCCTCACAAAGTGCCGCGACGTCGGAGCGGCTTGCTCCAATATTACATAATGTGGAATTTCCTGAGCTCCGTCCCTACGATAAACGAGCTCGGATGTGGCTTTCCTGTATACTAGGGGCCGAAAAGGAACTGGGTGGTCTACTAATGAAAAGTACGTTGCCTCTGTAAACTTGATGCTTGTGGAGGATATTTTTCGTTTGGAAAGCTGTTTTATCCATTGGTCTTCTGCTCCACTTTCATGTTTTGCTTCTTTTCTCAATTGATGTGTTATCCTTGTGAGACGAGATTGACTTGTACGATGATCAATGACATAATGTTTTATGTTTTTTTAAAATCATTGTTTATTGCCATGATGTTATTGCCCAGCCGGAAAGTCAATTGAGAAGGGTAACACAGGATTAATATTGGACTAGCGTGCATGCACGACCGGTCATCGGGATACATCATGCATGACGTGATCAGTGTCTTATGGATGTAGTATGCTTCATATGAACAACTTGCCCGGGGCGATAAGAGACCCAGAATGATTGCAGGGTTAAGAACACGTGCAAAAGAGGAGTGGGGCATAAGCACCGTTACGATTTATTATTGGATGCCATTTGTGTCACTCCAATAATAAATAAAAGTGGCTAAGTGAATTTTCTGGATTCTGGTCTATCGATATGAAAATGTAATTAAGACATCCTAGGTCATGCTTTTGGTTCTACATAGTACTAGTCTGGCCTTGGATACCGACGTGATCGGTTTCTCGCTCCGCGATCAAGGCAAACATCACAACTAGTGGTACTGATGATGTCGGACCTTCCCTGCCACACCATGAAAGCGAAGGAAATATCTCACCTAGCCTTCTCACCCGGATCATGAGAGCAAGGGCTCATGTTATTCAAACTACTTTTCTCATTTATCACATAACCGGATTCCTTGGGTGAAATCATAAACAAGACTAGACATATATATACATGTCAAGCATGGATGTAGTAGAAGTCGCTGTCATATACCATATATCCGGTTACAGATCCGATGATCTGGATCTCAGATCCGATCCAGATCCGATGAACATATCCGTCGTCCGGTCCACAGATCCGCTTTGATTCTTATTTCATTTCCTGTTCATATAACTCTAACTATCGTTCATCTCCTTTCGGTATTCCTGTACACCGGTATACCGGTTATCCTTTACTTCCGCTTTGCTTACTGATCCGCTATGCTTACTGATCCGCTACACTTACGAATCCGCTTTTACTTGTACTTCATTCCCGGTTCATGATTCGTGATCCATCCAACTTACCAATACGCTCCACTTAGACTTTGCTTATACTTTCGTACATAGCCTCGCACCTTTGCTTATTGATCATTCCGTTAGCTATCCGTAGTATATAAACCTTTGTATATGCGCTGTAGTAGATCAGTTCGAATATCATCTTAGATTGCACTCATTCCGTCTGGACTCTGAGTCCCTCCGTTATCCATCCGGACTTGAGTACGCTACTCTTGTCTACTCCGAGACTTAGGATAGATTCCTATAAGTCTACATATCCGCCTCTGTCTTCGGACAGTCCTCACCCGTTAGTTTCTAGTCCGGATCTGATCTGGATTGGCCGTTACTCTATACGTTCGATATCCGGAAGTCTTAACGGATCCATTGCAATACTTATCCGTTTCACTAGACGCGATACTTTAGCTCTCTGAAATAAGGGGCAAGACTCGGGAAAGGGGCACAGCGCACGAGCTGAGGCCGAAGCCCTTCGGATCCGATACTACTTGAGTACGGTCTTAACAGTATATTCGAACTCATACCTTTCCGAGTTACTTAACATCTATCATGCCTCCTACCAAGACACAAACAACTCTGCACGCGGTCGGACTAACCTCCCTCCGTCGTGATCCGACACCTATAGTCAACACCTTCACCAGTTTCTCTCAGCGCCGTGTTAGCGCCCACGGAACCGCTCAAACCATATCCGAACTCCTTAATCGTCGACACCCGGAAACCCCAACACGCACTCCTGCCGTAGGACCTCCGGACGATGATGATCCCGATGATGGTGATGATGATTTCCCTAGTAATCCACCCGATGATAACGGTGGTGATCCGGATGATGATCCGGATGTTGAGGATGATGAAAATGACGGTCTAAACCCACAAGACCGCGTTATGCTTCGACTCTCAGAAGCCATCGATAACCTTGCTCGCAATAATCGTCGCGCGCCCGCATCCGAAGATTCTAGAGTCAAGGTCCGAGAACCAGATACCTTCGACGGATCCGAACCACGGAAGCTCCGTGCGTTCTTTGTCCAGTGTGAGCTTAACTTCCAGAGCAAGCCTAAGGCTTTCCGTACCGGAAGGGCTAAAGTCAACTTCGCCCAATCCTACCTTAAGGGTATGGCCCTTGAATGGTTTGAACCGGATCTCCTGTCCGATGATTTGGACGACCATCCGGATTGGATGGATGACTATTCCGTGTTCATGCTTGAACTCCAAGCCAACTTCGGGCCTCATGACCCATCCGGTGATGCAGAAATGCAGCTCGAACAGCTCCACATGCGCGATGGACAGCGCATCAACAAGTACGTTGTGGAATTCCAGCGTCTTGCTTCACAGGTTCGTGGCTGGGGCGACGGAGCCTTACGACGCCAATTCTACAACGGACTCCCGGCCCGTATCAAGGATGAAATCAGTCGCATGGGTAAACCCTCTACTCTTTCCGAATACAAAGTCCTCGCTCAGACTATCGACGCCCGATACTGGGAACGGAAGGGAGAGATCTCTCGAGAAGCTAAACCCACTTCATCCACTACCCCTAAGCAATCCACTTCTGACCGGACGAACTCCAATACGTCCGGATCCGGAAATCACAAATCCGGAAACTCCCATGATCAGAAGTCTACAAAGCCATCCGCGTCCTCGAACTCGACCGCTCCTAAGGTTCCGGATCTTACTTCCAAGCTGGGTAAGGACGGAAAGTTAACGTCCGAAGAGCGGCAGAGAAGGATGGACAAGAAACTCTGCTTATTCTGTGGTGGACCCGGCCATACTGCTCGGGAATGCACCAAGTCTACTTCGCGTGCTGCCAAAGGCCGCGCTGCAGTAGTCGCTCCGGAAGGCAAACCGGATGTCTCTACTGAGACAAAAAAATAGTCCGCGACTCTCCTAGCTCCGTGCAGGAAGAGGGTCGCGTTGACTCTGCCTGCACAAAGGAGTTAAGACTCAACGCTGTCGCGCTCTCGGATCCGACTTCCCTCTGTCCATATGTTTCACTTCCGTTACTTCCATCCGTATCCGAATTTCCAGCTCTTGTAGATTGTGGTTCTTCTCATTGTTTCATAGATACTGCGTTCATCCGAAAACACAAAATCCCTACATATCCGATACCTACGATTCCGCTCCGCTTGTTTGATGGTACTTGTAATAATACTATTTCCGAAGCTATAGATTTGTCCGTCCGCTTTCCGTCCGGTGTAGTCCACCTCTGATACGTTCTACGTTACCCCTTTGGATTCATCTTGTTTTATCGTTCTTGGATATAGCTGGCTCACCCGACACAATCCGTTGATTGACTGGGTTTTGGGCAGCATTGACTTCCGGACGACATCTCATGGAATGCCATCGACCCCTCCGACGTCACTTCCGTCCTCGGATATCCCTCCTCCGACGGAAACCATACCTCCTCCGACTACATCCGTACCCTCCGCTGATAACACTGTTCCTAATTGTCACAACCCTTTTAACGAATTAACGTAGGGGCAGAGACTAGGACTCAAACAAGGATATCACAACAAGAAAAGAATATAATGAGCAGGGACGTCTTAGGATTGCTAGCAGTAAGCTATCCGCTTCTCTATCGTCCGATCCTCCGGATCTATCCCAAATTCCTTCGGACTATCACGAGTTTGCGGATGTCTTCGACAAGGGAAAGGCTGGTCAGCTTCCTCCACATCGTCCTTATGATCTGAACATAGATCTGGAAGAAGGAACTAGTCCTCCCCTCGGAACTATCTATTCTCTATCCCCGGTCGAGCTTGCAGCCCTCCGGAAGTTTCTTGATGAAAATATTGCCTCTGGACTCCTCCGCTCCTCATCCTCTCCTCACGGAGCTCCGGTCCTATTTGTCAAGAAAAAGGACGGATCCCTCCGCCTTTGTGTGGATTTCCGTGGACTCAACCAGATCACTAAGAAAGACCGATATCCATTACCCCTCATTGCCGACCTATTAGACTCTCCGAGCCGTGCTAAAGTTTAT